CTTGGAATATCTTTTTAATGCGCATGTCGCATTCCCTTGTTACTCAAATTGCGTGAACACTGAAGTAGATGGAGGCGCATAGGCATCAAATAGCAATAGCAATAATTGTAGATTCAACATCTCGCAATATCAACGCTAAAGTATGAAAGACGGCCTAAAACAGATGAGAAAGACATCACCCCATGCAAAACTATGAAATGTCCGAACAACGACTTACAGAAGAGAATGCATTCGCGAGAAGTGTTACATGACCTAGAACATTGTTAGCAAGAAGAATCATTACCTGGTACCAAGTCAAATACATACTTCAGCGATTGACTGCCGCTCAATGATTGATTTCTGTCTCTCGTTGCGCGAAACACGGTAGTAATAGTCGGTAAAGTCACCACATTTCATGTGGCGCAGGAATTCTTCATCGTGCGTGATGACAATCAACTGGAAATTAGCCTGCTGTTGACGAGTGCGGATAATGTCATGCAGCGACTCCGCCAGAGAGCGAATATTATCTCGGTCCAGGTTCGTAGTGGGCTCATCAAGAGCGATGAGACCGCAATTGACACCGAAACATTCCGCAAGGGCGAGACGAATGATGATACTAGCTAGGACCTTTTGGCCTGCACTGCATCGACCTCGCATGTCCATCTCGGCGCCTGACTTGACCATACAGACGCGGTAGTTGTATGATCGATTGCCCTTGGCGTTCTCGTTATCAGACCGGATGAGGATTGTGTCGACATCTGTTCCGCGATATGTTTTCTGCCACAGTTCGCCAGCGATAGCGTTGATTTCCGCCATCTTCAGGCCGTGGTATTGCATGATTGCTTTGTCAAGAGCGCCACCGTATCGAGCCAGGTCTTCCACGGCGGCTTTGGTGGTCTCCACTTTGATGTGGGATTCCTTGTATTTTGAGGATGCATCCTTATAATCTGTGTTCCAGTCCGCTAGCAGCTGCATCAACTGATCGTCCTTGGACTTCATTTCGCCCATCTTGCTCGCCTGTTTGGCAGCAAGGGCATTGTGTTCACGAGTCCAGCGTTCTGACTCTTGCTTGAAACGGCCTCGGTCCACTTCAGCATTTTGGGCTTCCAAGTGCTCAACTTCTTCAGCAACTGTGTTGAGAGATCGAGTGGCTTGGCGATATGTCAAGTTGTCAGAGTATTGCCGCTTGGTGTTTTCGCTGTCCTTGAGTTGGGTCGAGATTTTGTTAATCTCCCTTGTGATCTCGCTTTGATCGGCTTCGAGTTTGCCAATTTCAGCTTCGATTTCTTGAAGCTCCTGCTTGCATCGTTCAAGTTGGCCCAGACCTCCCCGTTGATTGTACGAGTTGATGTCATCATTGGCAAGGTCAAGCTGATTGATGTTCTCAGATAAGCGGCTGATCTCGTGCTGCAGATCTCGTTCACGCTCGTCGGCTCGCTGGCTGATATCATCGTAACGGGCTTGGGCTTGAAGCAACTCTGGCGTGAGACTTTCGATATCTCGATCTGCCTTCTCAATTGCGTCCCGCTGCTGATTATTGAGTTTCTTGAATTCTTTAATCCGGACGATCAGGTCCGCTTTCTTTTCCAGCTGGAATTTGGCATTGTCTAGGTTGCTCTTCACATCTCTGAATTCTAGCTCGAGCTTGTTGATCTCTGACCGTGTCTTTTCTTTCTCATTTGTCACTTTTGTTAGAGTCTTTTTCAACTCTCGTGACTTTTCATTGATGAAAGCAATTTCCTCCTGAATGTCTTCCAGGGTACGGGCAGTTGAAGGGTCTTGCTGCTTTGCAGAAAGCTCTTGAATTTGTGATTTGATCGTCTTGATCTCCACATCGTAACGCGCGATAGTGCTCACTGTCTTAGCAAGCCCCTCGACATCACGCTTGCTTTCTGTTTTCTCGCTGACCTTTCCGTCGTGGGTTTCTAGCTTCTCTAGAAGTTGGTCACGCTGGGATTCGGATTCTTGCTCCTCTTGTTGAAGCTCCGGGATGACGGTCTCTGACAAGCGGACCCAGGTGTCGTATGATGCACTAGCAGCGCGAGCAGTTTCGAGATCTTCTTCAAGGCTCTTCAGGGTCTCATCTTCGGCATCAAGGCCAGCCTTCTTGACTAGGGCATCCAACTTCTTTGTGAAGGTCTGGAGTTCTGCATCGTTCTTGAACGATCTTTGACATGTTCGGCACAGCTTGGTACGCTTAGCAGCATCAAGACATTTTGTAAGATATTCTCCCATTCCGGCATATTGATCAGCGTCTTTGCGAGCGAGATCATACTGTGCCTGGCGCTCCTTCACAATTTCAGGGTATTCGGAAGGCTCTGCGTCGACTGCTTCGTGGATTTCCTTCACGCATTCATCAAGTTCCTTTTGACGCTGCTTGAGGTTCCTCTTGGCAGTCTTGAGCTTGAACTCTACATGCTCCAATTCTCGGCTCACGCCGTCGCGCTGTCGCTCTGCATCGGCCACCTGCTTTGATTCGCTATCGAGAGCTTGTTGGAAGCCTCGCTCTAATGTGTCCGGCTTCCAGTCGGGACCAACGACCTTCTCGAGGCGATCGCTATGAGCTCCTCTCATCGTCTGTAGGCTGCGTTCGCGGTCCTTCAATTCTTTCTTGAGGTGGTCTAAGCGAGCCAAGTCCCCAGCCTTCTTGGTTGATTCAATGAGCTCGGTATTCAATCTCGAGCTTTCATCCTCAAGGCGCCGAATTTCCGCATTGGTATCCTGGATATCTTGATCCCAGGAAGCAGTTTTGGCTCGCTCTTTCGCGTGCTCAAGGTTCGAAGTGATATCCTCCACCTTTGACTCAAGCGCAGCCTGTAGGCCCTCATCAACTTCGATTTCATTGAGCTTTTTTTGATGGGTTGTTGCCTCCTTGTCATTCGCAGCAATCTGTCGTTTTGCCGCGTGCTTGGTCTCTTGAAGGGCGGACTTGGTTTGCCCAATCTCATTCAATTTTTCTTGAACCTCGCGGAGCTCTTTCTGGGCTTCACGCCTCACACGATCCAGAGATTGGTTCTGGTCTTTTAAGAGGCGTTTGATCTTCTGCATGAAGGTGTCAATTTCAGACTGATCCATCTTCTCGCCAATACCACGGATGTTGTTGGCACGAGCAATCTCATTAATCATGTTCTGACGCCTTTGAGACTGACGCTCAAAGTTGGCCTTGTCGTTCTCAAACTTTCCATTCTCAGCTTGTTTCAGCCCAAGGCGGTGCCGAGTCTGCTCAATCTGCTCCTTAATTTCCATATAGCTTTCCTTTTGTGACTCTTCTTGTTGCTGGTATTGGACCTGCTTCACTTCGAATTGCTCCAGGGTAGATTCAAGCCATTCATCGGACTCATCAAGCTCAACTAGATGTCTCTTGAGGTTATCAATGGTGGTTTGGATACTTTTAGCTTCGATGCGCTTGCCCTCAAGAGCACCGAGCACCTGGGCATAACTTTCTGATTGCGTCCAAGCCTTATCGGCAAGCTCCGCGACGCGCCGCATCTCTTGTGACATCCGCTGGGTCTCTTCGCGCAAGGCCTCGATTTCCTCTTGAAGCTTGATGGATCGTTTTTCAGCACGGTCTGCTTTGTCTTTGTCTTCTTTCGCATGTTGCTCCATAATCTTATATTTGCCAAGCTCCTCGTTCTGCTTCTTCCGCAGTGCTTTGATGTTGTCAATAGCCTTGGTGTACTTCATAGCCTCAAATATTTCGTCAAACCTCTTTTTCAACACAGACGGTTCACTCATTGGCCACAGACTTTCGTCCTGGTGGCAGAAAATGACCGAATCCAGTACGGCCTTTGAGACGCCCAGATACTGCGGCATGATTTGGTCCAGCTCAGCCACTCGCGATGAAATAGCTGTGCGCTCGCCGTTTTTGACCATAAGCAGCTGGCCTTCTAGGGTCTTCTGCTGTCGTGTGGTTTTCTTGACCGTAAGCTGTAGACTGCGCGTGGCAACCATTTTCGCTCCGGAAGTGGCCTTGAATGACAGCTTCACCTGGGCCAGTACCTCTTTTTCGCCACATAGTTTCGGGTCGTGGATGAAAGCACCGCCTTTGCTGTTCGGAGGAAGATCGCCCGTTGTGGCATATTTGAGACACTCGATGATAGTCTAGATCCACGTCAGTTCCCTGCTGGTCGCAACTCTAGTCGTCCATTTCGCCATTTCGTACTGTTTTTCCTGAGCCATTGTAACCGACAATCAATGTGAGAGGTGTGTGGAATTGGATCGTTTCGCTGCGCGTATTATCGAAGGAGCGGACTCTAGAACAAGCGTGGTTTTATGAGCATGAGTGTAATTACTCTCCGCAGTGGCCGCACTCGGATCAAAAGCTTTGAGAGACGTACCCCAGTATAGAGAGCTTATCAATCTTCGCTACAGTATGTTAGATGACCGTTTGTTCCTTTTTTTTCCTCGCCGAGCTATAGTTGTTGCACTTACACCTAAACCTCAGTTAGCATCGCGACACGAGACGGGAATGATCGGCACGTACATTTCGAACAAAAGCTATGAGAGGGGCGTGTGAGCCCGTTGGCCTTTAGCTTTATCGAATACAATCGAATAAAGAGCCAAACACAGAGAGAGCTGAGAAACGAAAGTGCTCGGATCGCCGTTGAATGTGATTGATCACATAGTCCCGCGTCGAGGCGACACGAAATCACGTGGATTGCACTAAAGTGCTGCGGGCCCACAGGGATCGGCGGCTCTTTGTCAACCAGCAATGGCCGGCTCTTATTTCCAGAGTTCTGTCTTTTCGAGGAGATCCAGACCATCAGTGAGACGATGTGCATATTCTGAGAGGCGCATCGTCCCACCCCCTCTTGTCTGAATGAACCGAACGTACTGTCTCGAATCTGGAGAATGAACCGTTCCATTTTCAACGCTCACTCTACTATATCCGTCCCCTCGTGCGGTCATAGTTTTTTGAGGGAAATCTCGTGGCTCTTCATGAGACGTCGGATCCAGACGCACTCGAACCTATTACTAGTGCCATTATATCTCCCTTTTAATCTCTCTACACTGCGCTCGACATGGCTCTGAGTCGCCCACAACCCTATGAGGGTATGCCTCTACCCAACTACCAGATGAGATCGGGCTCCAACGAGGGGCATCCGGGGTACACAATGGAGCAGCAGCACGTCCATGCATCCTACGGTGGGCTCTATGGGGTGCAAGGTGCTCATCACGGGGGATACCAGGGTGTACAAAACGACGGGGGCTGGACAGAACGAGTTCTCGATGAAATGAAGGACCTGCTACTTCTCCTCACACCCCACGGCCAAATCACCTATGCCTCACCATCGTGCAAGAGTATCACCGGCCGTGTCGCAAAACAACTCGAGGGAAGTGCTCTGGCACATTACATTCATCAGGACGACCAGCCAATCTTCCAGCGAGATTTGGACGAATCGGTGGTTGCGAACCAATCGTTCCGGACCCATTTACGATTCCACAAGACCAACGGCACATATTGTCTCATGGAGGCCTATGGACACCCACATCTCGCAAACCAGGATGAGCGTGCAGGGAGACCCACGCCGGCCAACGGGCGCTGCACCGGATTTTTCCTCGTGTGCCGACCATATCCCAGCAAGGTCTCTCAATTGCTCGACTCTTTTTTGGAACACAAGATTGAGAACGCACGTCTAGTCCAACAGATTGCCAAATTGAAGCAAGAAGAAGATGAAGAGGCGACCGCGACTCGAGTGCCCTATTCTAGGAGCGACCAGGATATTCGTGCCCCCGTGGCCGAAAACCGATTCCAACGATTCGCTCATTCGGGGGAAATTTCTAGTGACCCTGATACTACAGACACCGTAGGGCCGAACTCGGATGAATCCGACACGAGCCAATCGACGGGCTATTTCGCAGAGCCCAATACCCGCGAAGTTTACTCACATATTGACGGCATCGAAGTCATGACCGGTCTTAACTACGCAGACGGCGAGAGATCGCACGGTCTCAGTACAGGTGTTAACCGTGGCCGTCTTATACATTGCGATATTGACATCACCACTGCTGCTGACCAAGAGCGCAACGCTCAGGAAGGCGACCGCCGTAAAAGGCTCAAGGCCCAGCATGTCTGTAGCGACTGTGGAACAGCAGACTCGCCAGAATGGAGAAAGGGGCCCAACGGGCCTAAGACCTTGTGCAATGCTTGTGGCTGTAAGTATTGTCCCGTCTGTTGTGACCCCCGCTCAGCTTGCTTGTAACCTGTCTACTCTTGGCACGGAACGAGCTAACCCAATTGTCTTTCTAGTGCGCTGGTCTAAGAAGGAGAAGAAACGCCAAGAGTCGGCCTAATTTTCAGTTCTCGGTTTATTTGCTTTTCTTGGGCTGGTGGCCTGCCAACCCCTCAGTTGTCCGGGTGCTTTGACTGGTCAGGCATGCTGTCCATTTCGATGAATCTACAATGATCTTCAGACGAGCCCCATGCTCGCTATCGCATGGGTGATGATCTTATGTCCTGTGAAATGGATCTCTTTGGTCCGATGTATATAGCTGGCCGTGATTTCTTTTGCAAACATTGTGTACTACTGCACTATGGAACCTATGTTTTTTTCTTGGTAATTCAAAATTTCATTATGAGGAATTAAATGATTTGACAAAGTCGGAGCAAATCAACAGTCCAACGCCCAGGATAATGACGGCATGGAGTATGTACTGAGTAGGCACTTGTGGCCAAAGACAAGCCCACGGAGAGGGCCAAAGGAATGAACAGAACCCCATATGAACGCCATCTTTGGGCCGTTAAATAATGAAGGTGATGTATGGGCAACAAGACGTGGTATCATAAAACGCAATTTCTCGACAAACAACAATTCAACGAGGGCATTTAGGCCCTAGCAGCCTTCTTTGGCGGCGGCGGGAAGTACATCGGCGACCCTGCCGAACTCTCCGGACTGACTTCATACGATTGCGGCGACGGGTATTGAGGCTGAGGCATACGGGAGTTGTCCCGCAGTGGGAGGTCCGATGCGGTACTACCATTGCCAAGTCGGTTGAAGGCCAGCGTTCGGGGTGCGAAGGGCGAGATATTTCCTCCAACAGCCATGGGCGGAACCCCGGGGGTACGGGGAACCATACCTGATCGCGGCATTGGGCCGGGGGTCATAGGAATCATGCTGGGAGACTTGATGATCTCTTCTTCGAACTCCTTCTCGATGCGACGCTCTTCCCTCTGCTCCAGGATCGCATCCCGTTCTTCGGGGGTGATGAAGCAGGAGTGGATACAGAAGCCGAGGATAATTACATAGTAGACACTGAAGGGGATGTTAGCTAACTGTTTCCTCGTAGAAGGGGAGTAAACAAATATTAGAGTGGAAAGGGCCGAACTAACACCATGATAACAGTCACAGCAAACAGTGCTTTCGCTTGCATGCAGTATCCAATGTTGGACTTTTTGTAGGCGACACTGCAACTTTTCGCAATGTACCACGGGGCCCCTGGCTGAGGATGTCTGGGGTCTGACATGTCAGACCCAGCCTGATACACCGCTGACACGATATAGAGAGCGACCAAGGACACGTGGACGGCGACCGCAACAGGAGGATAAAACAGGTTCATCCAGTGGGTAGGCAATTTTGTGATGAGGAAGAAAGTGCTTAAAACAGCAAGGACAAGATTGTAACTGGTGATACTGTTTTTAAGTCAGCGGCCACCTCTTGCATATTGAGTATGAGTATAATGAGTAACTTACAAGCTGGACCAAACCATGGGGGCCTTGAATGGTGTGTAGTTCGCTGCAGCATACAATGCCTCGTTGGGAGCACTGTTGAATCCATTGTCTGCTCCATCTTGCCATAATAATGTCTGGTATAGATTATGGGAAGCGATACCAGTCAATGTCAGCATTACGATGGTGATCGGAAACTCCCCAGTCATCAACCAAAGCACGAGCTTGTGGTGCTTATGCTTCTTTGGAAACAAGAACTGCATTTTGGCGTTGGGTTTGGAAGGTTCGCAATAAAAATCGACTATATTTTCCCAAGCTGACCGTTCAACCGAAGCGCTTATGGAAGAGTTAAAGCTGTGTACAATATCAGACCGGCCGGCTAAGACCTTCTGTCTGTCGCACGAAAAGGGCTAAATGTTTCAACGTGGTAGAGGGGTCAGAAAAGAAATTAGAAGAACACAAGTCTGGGCAATCCGGAGGGCGAGCGTTAGATATGAGCTCGAGGCCAACAAGTGGCCGAAGACACAATCCATCGCATGCAGGAGGGGCACGAATCAGCATGGGAAGAGCCCATGCGAAGAGATTGATGTGTGTTTGAGAGGTGCATCTGGCCAATGCTTGATGGCGGCAAAGCGCCAGCGTAAGTAGCAACCCGGTCATCACACCAATGAGACGACGAGGATCGAGGGAAACCGCCGGTCGTCACACGCTAGCAGGTGTGATAGGATGGCAGACCTGCATGAAGCCCTCAATCACATACTTCCCCTCAATAGGATCAGCGCACCCTTGGCACTTTGAGGGAACTTGCAGCCTTCCAGTACGAAGCGCCCGGCGAACCGCTGCTGGGTTGATGTGTCGCATTTGTGACTATGTAGTTGACCGTGCATATATACCCATGCTAGCCCCGGCGTCAGGAAAATGGGAACAAAGAAGATGGCCTCTCATTTTCGACCATAGCCATCATTAATTCCTAAGTTATCGAGTTCTAACCTTGAAGTTGGAAGTGGTAGTTGTCGAGTGGCACAAGGAAGTCATGTGGTCGGCAGAATCCCAACCTGCGATCTCAAATGCATTACGATCATGCCATCTTTTAGGGATTCCATCAACTAAATCCAAGTCCAGCTTTGTAGCATGATCCATCTCTTGATATATCTTGATGAAGTCGTTCCAGTTGCGTCCGCTTGCTCTTCGCTCAGCCATTCCACCCCGCATCATCCGGCCTAGTCAACTTGAATTCCCCATTTCAAGAATCGCACGCCAAATGAGTTCCCAGAGAGAGGACTCGATTCCTCATGAGCTGCGCACGGCTGCAGAGCCCCGGCAAAATAGACTGCACCCAGTGCGATTATCACACGTCGAGCAGGTCAACCCCTCTGTTCGGCTCCTACAGTTCACTCTGACTCCCCAAGAGAATAATGTATGGATTTATTTTATTTTCTCGTCCGCTGCCTCTTTATATATGTCCCTATACCCAGTATCTTCTACTCATACATCAAGCCCGGCTGCCACTCATGGCTGGTTGTTGTCCCCACGCCGTTGGATCCCATATGCCCCGCACAGTCGGTGGTTCCAATCACATATGAGCATCTGCTATCATGCACCTTCACCCAATAGATGTCGCTGATGCATTCTACAGGATAACGGTCAACAGCCATTCAGCTTCCTCCCTGGCCAATGGCTTGATGTCCATATTCCCTCCAACACCCAAGCCGGGGGCTTCACTATCACCTCCACCCCGGCAGATGCGGAGGTGCTGCCGTCGCCAGAGGCTTCTATAGACTCATTAGCTGGCGAAGCGCTAGAACCATCCTCAGAATCTCAAGGGCGACCACCATATGTAGAGTTGGCTGTACAAGACTCGCCGAATAACCCATCCGCCGCATGGCTGTGGAGACCAAAAGAAGAGATTCTCGGCAAGGAGCTGAGCATCCGAGTTGGCGGAAGCTTCACCTGGCCTCCCACTGGAGTCGATGTTAATGATGTTAAGAATGTGGTCTTCGTTGCTGGTGGTGTTGGCATCAAGTAAGTGATACTTCCAAGATATCATGTCCGCGATGTATACAATCGTCATCACAAACCAAGACTATACTTGTTTCAATCCCTCATGAGCAAATTCTAACACAGTCTTAGTCCTCTGATATCCATGCTCTCCCACCTAAACAACAACGAACCCCACACCCCCAACCCAACAACCATCCACATCCTATACTCCAGCCGCCTACCGCAAATCCAGGGAACAGCCTCGGCAGACTCAATACTAGGCCAGATCCTGTTTCTCCCACGTCTGCGCCAGATAGTCCGATCTCAAGAAAGTTCGCACCGGCTGCGGATCTCGCTGGACCTTTTCCTTACGGACTTGGTCTCGTCGCCTGATCTCCTCTCATCTGGGTCTCCCTCTGATCTCAAGATCCACCGAGAGAGGATATCTGATCGTGATCTGCGCTCTGCGGCTGTGGGTATTGACGGTGAGGTGGATCCTCGGAGCACAGTGTGCTATGTATGTGGACCGCCTGCTATGACTGATTCCATTGTGGAGAAGTTGGTTGGGATTCTAGGGGATGGTGGGGAGCAACGAGTTTTCTTTGAGAAATGGTGGTGAGAATGGGACGAGATTAGTAACGACGTGATATATTCGTATGCGATTAATTGCAGTTTGTTAGTCGATGAATGAATAGTCAACGTTACAGTTCAGGCTACAATAAGAACACAATAGGACTAGGAGAAATGGCTTCAATATTTTTAAAAAGATAAGCTCCCCCGCAGATGCCGACCTGACGCAGGCAAGGGGCGGAACGATATATGTACAGGAAAATAAAAGAAGGGCCGCCGGCAAGAACGGAACGACAGTATGTGAGAGCAGGGGCAGTACAGACACGCTGGCATCTCAATACAATATGGGGACGAGAAATGGAAAAGAGAATAGAGAGAGAGATAGAGCAGTCAGGCTTGGTTAGGATGCTGGCTCTGGGCCCTTGACGGCACCGCCATCGACGATCATCATTTCGTCGATTTTGGCTTCGGTTTCACCCCATTCTAGACGCTTGTATGTGGATACGCGACCGGGGCCTCTGTCGAAGTCGAAGAAACGCACTCGTCGAACGAAGTCATCGTAGCCACCATAGCCGCCCATTCCGACACCGCCGCCATAGCACATCCAGAGAGATGGCTTCGCATTGTCGTCTTGCTCGAGCATGCAATAGTCATTGACATGATCACTAGAGAACGGTTAGTCTTTAAAACAGCACAAAAGGAACCTTGGAATGGATGACTTACTGTCCACAACTAACAAACAAAACACCCTCTTCTTCGAGGGCGTTCTTGAAGCCAGAGTTGAATCCTGGTGCAGTAGGAGGTTCCATCCATGTACCCTTGAAGTACTTTCCTGACGTACGATACTCAGGGAGCGGGATGTGAATAAATGCCACGTTCATGTGGATATGGTTATATTCCTGGTGTTTGGATCTTAGACTTTGGGCGGTGTTTTTGAACCACCGAGTTTGGCTCGGTTTGATCCAATCGTAGCCGCGGAACTGACGCTCGTCGGGGGAGTAAGAATGCGTGTCAAGGAAATAGAGGGTCAGGGCAGAGTGTGTGCTTGAGCCCCAGTCGAGGACTTCGACAACGTAGTTTCCGACCCCGTCAATGTCTTCGGGGCCGGCGGCTGAAAGAGAGTAAGGTAGGTCCTCGTATATGGTCATGAGTTGTTCTCGGTTGAGGTCACCCTCGTCGTCGTGGTTTCCAAAGATAGCTGCGTAAGGAATCTTGCGGTCGACCAGAAGCTTTACAGACTTATAGAGAGCACTTTGTGCATCTGGAGCGGTCTCTCCGTTGATCTGGTCACCAGAGAAGACTACCATGTCCGGCTTCTCTTCGTCAAGGAGTCGTTCGACAAATTCCAAGGTTCGGGGGTCGGCTTCACACTTCTGGCCAGCCACCGCTTCCGCGGGAACAGGGTCACGACAGTGGCCGAGACCGGTGCTCATGTGGAGATCTGCCAACTGCATCACCTTGAATTTCCCATTGTCGTTGATTCTGGGAACAGGCTTCTTGGGTTTTGCCTGCGGATGCCCTCTTCGGATACTAAGACGAGTCTCTAACTCTTCCGTCTTACTATCCAGGAGGATAGGAGTATCTTTGACTTCCCAGTTGGGACGAGGATCGACAGCATCCGCTCCATAAAGGACATCGACGTACGTCACGGCGTTTTCGGAGTCGCTAGCATGGCGGGAGGACGAGCGCTTGAGCCAGATGCCTCCCGGTCGGGGTTCCCACGATTCGACTTCGGTCTTTGCAACAAATTCAGACGGGGGAGTGATACGGCTAATTTTCAAGTCGATGACCACCTTGTCATCAGGGCCCAATTCCTCCTCCTTTTTCCGCTTGAATTGAACGTAGGCACTCGAGATCCAGCCCGAGCGCAGGTAGAGGTCCTTGTCGACGCGGTACCAGGTTTCTGGGTCTAGCTTACAACTCGAGAACGGATTGAGGGAGGAACAGGTTGTGACGGTCACATCTGTGATCACGTAGCCGGAATAATGCGATGGAAGGTGGCCATGGATTGAAGAGGGAAGGACACTGAATCGATTGTCGAGAATGACGACCACGAGGAGAATGAATGTTGCGAATAAACCGAGCTGTACGCTCGCTCGGACCTACACAAATTCGATGTTAGCAACCTGCTTCACAAGGAGTAAAATAATGTCATACTAGCCGGCGAGCCATTATGAAATAGATATCACCCTGGCAAGGACTTGAAGAAAAGCGAGGCGCCCTGTCGCATGATGCCCACGGATTTCAAATGTATAGGGCAAAGGAGAGGACCAATTTCGGTCAACTCTAGGATATAAAGGACAAGTATAATTTGTTTTGGGGGTGAAGTTGCAGGTCACCCTCGACGCTTGGGCCCCGAAGGCGGTGACTCCTGAAGAGTTGGTCTAGCCTCCCGATGCTTGGTGTTTGGATGTTGGTGATTCATTGACTTGGCGATTGTTACTCTTCTCATTATCCATTTTCTACCTATATGTGAAATTCCCGTCTATCATCAACATTCGTATGCAAGTTGCATGTCTATACAGGTCCACCGGAATTCCTCTACTGGCCGAGCGAAGTCTTGGCAGCCACATCGCCCACTGACACCTTGCCGCTCAATATGTCTTTGGAAGTCGAGAGGATTGTGGACCAATTCTGGAAAGTCGTGTAGGGCATTCCCCTGCGCTGGCAGTAGGTCACCAGATCTGCAACGGCGTTAGTTCAGTGTCTCGGAATCTGTTACGGTTCGCCCAGATAAATACCTTTGCCTTCCTTGGCGAAGAGAAGATCAGTTTCTGCAGCCGCAGACAAATCGGAAACACCGTCTCCGGCGTATAGAAGAATCGGGCGTTCTCCGTCGGGCAATCTGGCATAAGGCTTGATCTCCAGGGACTTGTCATGTCCGAAGTGGCTGGTGAGTGATTGTCAGTGAGGCTGGGGGAATGATGATCGGATTGACATGGCTTACCTGTCATCATGGTACTCAATCTGCCAACCACCCTCGCTGTTGATATTCTTGCCATCTCGGCTCACGGGCTCGTTGGAAATGATGGTGAGGTGGCTGGCGGGCTTGTGGCCGAGGAACTTCTCTAACAAGGCACTGATGATGGGTCGCATTCCAGATGAAAGGATGACAATGGGAACATTGTTTTCCTTAGCCCAGTAGTAGAATTCCTCGAAGTATGGGTCCAGTTTCATGTTCTTTAACAGCGTGTCGATGCACTGGTCGTATGGGGTCTTGATGCTATCGAGCATCTCGCGGAAGGCATCCCTATAGTGAAGAAAGACTCATTAGGGCTTGCTTTTGGAACAGACAGTGTCTTTAACACTCACCGGAAGCTCAGAGTCTCGTCAAGGACCTGGTCGTTCAACACAAGGCGCTTTTCTCGGCCGAAGCCAATGTTATCGATCTGAATAGCATTAGTGAAGATCTAGGATTTGGCAGCGATGCGATATACCATGAAGTCATTGCCTGCGATTCCAGTCAGCATGCAAGTACTAGCACTTTGCGGGGAAGCACCTACTGTCGTCGACTGTAATTGTCCCATCAAAGTCGGTGAAAAAGATGAGCTTAGGCTTAGTCTCCATGTAGGGGAGAGCGTTGGAACCCATGATCGCTATATATAGCAATAGAAATGAATCGCAGTATGTACAATTCAGAGAATGACTGAAGAAAAGCAGGCGCTAAGATTAAAGATGTGCCCCTCGGTGACTGGGGTGGGTCGAGCGGTACCGCAGCGGGCCAGTCTCAGCCGGATTTTCCTTTTCTGTTTATTCCAGGGCTAGTACTTCACATTTATTGTTTCCACATCATGTCTCGTCTGCGCCAGGCCCTGCAGCGCGTCTTTGGTGTGACTCCTACACCAGGCGCCTTGCGCTCTCGAACCATTGACACGAACTTCTCCATTATAAAAGGTAATTGTGTTGCAACGCCTCTTCGCAACGTCGGGCTAACGAAACGCGCAGAGGGAGACCGAGTCATTATACACGGCAAACAGCCCTCATTGTCAAAAGCATTGAAGCGAGGTGAAAAGCTTCAGACTGCTCGTGGAGCAGTGGACCATGAAAGCATCATTGGGAAACGGGTCTGGGATACGGTACAGGCTCGCAAAGGTCAATATCCTCACTTCTCGATTCTTGGACATGACACTGATATTTTTGTTATATACAGGCCCGAACATCCGAGTTAGCCTCCCAACGTTAGAAGAATACGTCGCCCTGACCCCTCGCTTGGTCACGCCGGTATGCGCATCACTCTTGTGAATCAGACACGGAGATACATTGGACTAACGCTACCCCAGTAGATCTATCCACAGGATGCCAATTTGATTGCTTCCCTTCTCGACATCCATGTCAACACTCCTGCCGCTGGCGAAGTACAACCCACTCTGGAAATCCTCGAGTCCGGAACAGGCCATGGATCCTTGACACTACATCTGGCGCGAGCCATTCACGCCGCCAATACCACTCCTCCGCCTCGTCCACCTCGATCCCAGATCAATTACCTAGAAGGCCGTGTCATTAGACCGAGTGAAAAGGACACGGAACAAACAAAAGAGAAACCCGCCGAGCCAGTTGCGGATCCAGCACAGGAGGAATGGGATGCATGGCGAGCGCAGCGCAATGCCGTCATTCACACAGTCGATGTATCGCCAAAGTTCGCTGCACTGGCCGAGAAAAATATCCGGGGATTCCGCCGTGGAATATACGCAGGCAACGTTGATTTCTATGTGGGCCCCGTTGAACACTGGATTGCCAAGCAGAAGCAGCAGCGGAAAAAGACTGGCCTGGCTGCGCTGACTGGAGGTAACCCTGTAGATCCGTTCCTTTCGCACGTCATTCTGGACATGCCTTCCTCAAACCTGAGGATCCCACATGTTACTCCGATGTTGAAGCGTGATGGCCTCCTAGTGGTGTTCATGCCTAGTATCACCCAGATTGGCGAGTGTCTGCAACTGATCCGGGACCAGCGACTGCCCCTCGTTCAGGAGAAGGTGCTCGAGCTTGGCTCTGGAATCAGTGGCGGCCGCACATGGGATGTGCGTTTTGCGACTAAGAAGTCCGGCGCCGACCCATCGTCCTGGACTGCCCCTTCAGATGCTGAGGCTGCCAGTCCTGCGGAAGCCGACGAGCAGTCCACCACCTCTGATGCTGCGTCCGAGGTGTCCACCACAGAGGAGCCTGCAAAGGAAGGAGAGTCTGTCTTGGTCTGCCGGCCCAAAGTTGGAGTGCGTATCCAGGGCGGTGGCTTCGTGGCAGTCTGGCGGCGGATCGAGGAACGTTATCCCAACGTATAAAACCTGTACTGTATACCTGTATTATGTTGCATGTCTGATACGGATTAGACCCATTTGTACAATATAGAGAATTGTGAGAATAATATCGAGATGCCCGAAAAGATGTCATAACATAACAAGAGACAATCGCTTCAGAGCTTCGCTTTACCCTCGATATCCGCATCTTTAGACACGGCAGTGTCTATGCCACCTTCACCTTCAACACCCTTAGCAGCCTCTACTTCAGTCTGAATAACCACTCCCTCCGTCCCAGGAACTTTGCCCAAAATCCAAGCCTTCACATCCTCCAAAAAGCTCTCCGTCGTCTCAGGCAACTCAGCATGCAACTTATGATAAGCGCCCTCATAAGAACGAAGCTTCACATCACCACCTTTCTCCGTCAACCCCTTAACAAAGTTCTCCGTCGCCGGATGACTAGTAACGCGATCCCCATTCCCATGTCCAAACCAGAAAGGCAGCCCAGTCTTCACCCAAGCCCCATCCCCAGCCGCAAACATCCCCTCCAACCAAATACCCCGGTCCAACATGCCGGCCAACCCCTCGAAAGTACCCGTATCATGGCACAGCGTATCAGCCACGAACTCGTCAACCACAGCCTTATTGCGAGACATCAAATTTGGGTCAAGCGGGGAGTACCGCTGCTTATGCGGGATCAACTTTGCAACAAGTCGCCCCGCTGAGACTGTCAGCTTTGACGGGCGGGAGGACGGGTCTATGGCGATTAGGGGGGAATACAGAAGCACGCCGGTGAAGTTGGGCCGCTTGGATTTGTCTCCGTTGTAGGGTGACTCTGGGTGGAAAATGTAGTTTAGGACTTGGCCGCCGCCCATGCTGTGGCCCATTAGGAAGAGGGGCATGTCAGGGTTGGCGGGTAGGTTTTGCAGGAAGGAGTGCATGTCTGAGAGGACTTGGGGGGTTGGGCCTGTTTTACCGCGGTCGCGGCTTTCTTTGACGCTGCGGCCCCATCCTCTGGTTTTGGGTGTTAGTTGGGGTGTTTTATAATGGAATAGGTCGTTTTCTTTGTGGGTATTTATATTGAGATATCAGGATAGGATTCGGCCTTGGTTTCACACTTACCGCTGATCGAAAGACCTGACCTCAATGCCTGCCGATGCCAGTGTTGGAAACAGATCGTGGTAGGCATTGCCTAGCAAGGGTTTTTCGTCAATGACTGTCTTATGGATGGTGGGTTGTCTTGACTTATTGCTCATAACAGACATGATCAACTTACAGTGGTCACTAAAGCCATGGATAAAAGCTAGAACAGCAAGTGGAGACCCGCTAGTCTATATAGTAGATCGCCTTGTTAGCTTTGAAACTCAATACCCTTATCTTGAGGTTGGAGTCTATCTCAGCTTATTCAGAGAGGGATCACAGCTGTGTCGTTAAATCCATACCTTCCATGTCTTAGTATACAGCTCAAGGCCGTCTGGGAGAATATGCACGCTTTCTTCTGTAGTCATTTCGGCTATTGAGGTTTGTATAAAAGCTCGAGAGGTGGTTGGGAGGAGACGAAGTGCACGGTGCACGTTTCAGCATGCATATACGGGACCTCGGCAGGAATGTGAAGCCAAGATACTAACGCCATTCAGATCCACCACGCCCGCAATTTTATAGTTAACCCTATTTATACGATTTTATATCTTAAAGAATGATAGTCCACTGCGTTTGGAGACTCTATCATTGACGATGTGATCTAGTTAGGCCTATTGTAGTCTTTTAGTGGTCTTTTAAGATATCTTCACCCCCTTCTTAAGTTTTCCAGGTAGACAGTAGAGAAAAAGGCGAGAAAAGGCTTGATCTGAAAGCACTTTGATATAATCTCTAATTATGTATATCCTAACACAACTATTATACAGAGACAAGAAAACTATAGCATAGAATCGATACAATAGTATCAACCATGTCCCATTTTCTAGATGTCAGCTATAGATCCTACATCCTTTTCTTACAAAACTTGCCAGCAATCTTAGTCGACTGTAACTACCTCTTCTTCTTTGTCTTTTGATTCATTTCTGTATTCAGTCCATGATCGGACGGATGGGTAAGAAGAGCCTCCAGGAATCCACGGGTCTTCAGACCCACTTACCAAGATCTTATTGGTTCCTAGCTAAATATGTCTTGTCCAATCATGCTTCGCCAGTGACATACTTCTCTACTATATCATGTCAAAATGACCGTCAACTTCTTGTCTGTCCTATTTTGTTACCTTTTAATCTTTCAATCGATGCTATATTACCTGACAAGAAGAGGTCCCTCGATACTTAGGCCAGCAATCTCACAATCTCTGCTGCGCCCTAAATATTCAGAAAGGATGTTCTCCGCCGTTCCTCAAGCGGTTACCAACCACCAACCCAATGTCTCATATCGGTCTCTAGCATTATCCCCGAGTGAAGATAGCCCAGATATTCGTCAGAAATACCGACCATTTATCCTTGATGACGAGCCAACTGAGGACTGGGTCAACAACTTAGACTTGGCCACCGCAGCAGACATGGCAGAACATAACCTACAAGTCACAAACGAGAGGCTGAGAGTTCTGGTACTCTATGGAAGTCTTCGTAAACGGTCATATTCTCGACTAGTGGCATTCGAAGCTTCCCGTATACTCTTCCGGCTCGGCTGTGACGTACGCGTCTTTGACCCCGAGGGTCTTCCCATGAAGAACGAGATTGATATCGCCCATCCCAAAGTACAGGAGCTCAGAGAACTCAGCGTATGGAGCGATGGACATGTCTGGGTTTCTCCTGAACAGCACGGTAATCTAGTGAGTTATCTCTCGCCATAGTCTCAACATTTCCGCATTATTTACTTACAGGTTTTCCTGCAACTTTAGACTGCGGTGTTCAAAAATCAGATCGATTGGATCCCTTTGACTACTGGGAGTGTCCGTCCTACCCAGGGCCGAACACTGGCTATTGCTCAGGTGTGCGGTGGATCTCAATCGTTCAATGCGGTCAACTCTTTGCGTATCCTGGGTCGGTGGATGCGCATGTTTGCCATTCCGAATCAGTCTTCGATCCCTAAGGCGTATACACATTTCCCAGATGAAGGTCAACCGGGGGATCAGCGACTCATGCCTAGTGGCAACAGAGATCGTCTGGTGGATTGCATGGAGGAATTTGTCAAATATACTATTCTGATGCGGCCTCACATCGGTCTTTTTGGTGACCGTTTTAGTGAACGGGAGGAAAGGAAGGGAAAGGAAGCGAGGATAAATGTAACTACGGCTATTTGAAAGAAATTGAATAATAGTGTGTCAGGGAGGCAATTTATTATGGTATAATTGCTCAACATACTTTGTTATCATAGCTGGCAACTCGATGGCTAAGGTAAACTATGAGCACATTCGTTATTTGATTGGCAAATTGGATTCGAATTCTAGAAGATACTAGAGATACCTGACCAATATCAAGATTAGACCTTTATTCAGATGTCATTTGATGAGACAGTCCGAGCCTAGCATCAATCATCCAGCAAACCATTCCACTCCGGAATCTCCTCGATCAATTTCCACATAAAATTCTCCAGCTTATTGGCACATTTGGTGTATACCGTTGTGGTACCATTGAACTGCCGACAGTTACTGAAAATCAATCTGCAATCCTCGACGAGCTTTTCCGGGGTGGAATAAAAACCTTGCTCCAATCTTCCTTCTATGGTCGACAGATCCATGGGTGATACGATAACATCGTAATAATCAGGGACTTCATCTTTGTCGACTGGTTTGACAAAGGGCCAGGCATGCTCGTGGTTTTGGATTTGATTCAGAAAACGTCGAAGTTCGTTGAAATGAGGTCCATGGCATGGCTTCCGCTCTAGCTCGTCCATAGCTGGGGTCCAGCCAGTCTCTCGGATAGCAGGGATAGAAAGCGGATCGAGTGGAGTGATAACGCCGTTAGCCCATTGCTGAGGTGGTTTATGGATAACATGGTTCTTGCTGAAGGTACGGATTTTGGCCAGAACAGACTCCTTCTGCTTAAGAAGCATACGGCCAGCTTCGAGATACCGTATCCGGGGAATCATGGAGCATTGCATAAGTGTGCCTCCGTCGTAATCCTTGATACACCCCATCCAGATAGATCTATCGAGCGTGATATCTTTAGTGAAACCTTGCTTTCGAAAATATCCGATAGCGTGGTTGTCAGCGTAAGTTAGGAAATTCATCACTGGGGAAGTAGCTTTGACGTAATCTTTGAAATGCGCCATGAGATGCGCTCCGTATCCTTTCACCTGATGGTCAGATTCGATCGCGAAGAAAACAATTTCGGCAAACTTGCGTTCTCGGAATTCTCGGTATGATATTCCGCCAATGACCTCTAGGGGCATTTTGACAAGTGCGATAGACAAATGAGAACGATCGTAAACAAGACGAGCGATGTATTCCTTAGGCATATTAGGAAGTTGCTTTTGGAACAGGCATTTCAAACCCGTGAGGATGATCGTACTCTCACGGGAGCCATCATTGTTGACGACTCGGAACTCGATCTCGCCATTTCGTTCTTCTAAAACAGCCGGCTTAAAAAAGATATCCGTTAGAACATTCTATGCAGCCTAACATTTGTAGTTTTAGCATACCTTGTCTGGGAAAGGAACCCTTCCGATCGGGGCTGGAGGTTGAACATCCGGTGTTGTCGAACTATCGCGAGAGTCTTCGATTCTTTCAGCCTCAGGGGTAAGACTCGGTGCTTCAGAAGATGTCCGCTTCGCCAGGAGAGCTTCCCTGCTGTCCGCTGAAGATGACAGTGACTCTGTGTCGATCATCTTTGTTGAATACCGGCGATCATGCGAGATGTAAAAGCAAACTAATGCAGGTGAGCGGGTGTGAATGAGCGCTCTGAAGTCGCTACAAATGTCAGGTTGACAAGAGTCCGGACCTCTTGGTAAGTGGTTGGCTTGATAATTGTTCCATTGTAGCAACCATCGCGCGTTCTTATGGTTACGATCTTTTGGCCTAGTTACTTTTGCAACCACTTGGGTGCCGCAGCCTAAGTTCACGGATTGTGCACTGCCTGCGAACAAATAAATACAACGATATGTATCAATAATAGGTGCTAAACTCCTTAGAATGTCAAATGCTGTATGATACTAGACCCATACAAATTGAGAAAACTCAAAACAGGAGGTCGGGGTCCGCGGACCCCGACAAAGTATACAAAGAGCCACAATTATTCCTTCCAGTAGCATTGCGATAATATCCAAACCAAAATGTCCACATTCAATGGCTTAGAAATAACAACAGCAAGTCGACCCATCCCACCCTACCAGGCCTCAATAGTCGCCGCACTAGCGAGCGAAGGAGCCATCCACCCAATAGACACAGTAATAACACGCATGCAATCCCCGATGTACAGCAGCGTCTACAAGCACCTAAACGGCACACTGAGCCGCGCACTCTTCAGCGGGCTATACCAAGGCTTCGGGCCAACCTTCTTCGCAGGAACACTCTCATCAGCTGCTTTCTTCACCGCATACGAAGCCTCAAAGACGGCATTTAGCAATGCACAGGCCGCCGGATATATGCTCGGCGTCCCGCGGCCGCTGATCCACGTTGCTAGTAGTGCTGTTGCCGAACTGCTTGCATGCGCTATCCAGAACCCGGCTGAGGTGTTGAAGCAGAATGCTCAGGTTTTTCAGCGGCCAGTCAATGCAGACAGGGGCCCGTCTCCGACGATGGAGATGTTGCGAAGGTTTCGGAAATATCCGGCTGGGTTGTGGGCCGGGTATAGTACGTTAGTGGCGAGTCAATTGCCGGGGATGTGTGTTACGTTCTGTTTGTATGAGATGTTCAAGGAGGATTTGCTTGAGCGGTGGAAGACGGGGAAAGATGATATTAGACAGCAGCTTGAAGCGACTGTTTTGGGTGCTGGTGCTGCTGGAGGTTGCGCGTCTTGGTTGTTTGTTCCTATCAATGTGGTTAAGACGAGGATGAGGCTTGCGGTTGGTGATCAGATAGATAGCACTCGGTCAGGTCTCAAGGGAAACCCTGGCTTGCCATCCCGTATCGGGGCATTTGCTATTGCTCGAGATGTGCTGCGGAAGGAGGGTGTAGCTGGGTTATTTCGGGGGTCTGCTTTGACCTGCGTGGCAGCGATTGTGGGGAGTGGACTTTATATTGGGTGTTATGAGGGGACGAAGATATACTTGTGCAATTATGAAGGCTCATAGTTGGCATGGTTGGAGATTATTCCAAGTCAAATGTATCTTAATAAATGTATAATAGAATAGAATTACTCTCCTCCTTCCGTGTTGTCACCTAATAGAAATATGTAATGCGGTATCAGCAACCATAAGCGTATAGTGTCGCGATATATAAGCATGTAAGGGCATTTCAATCTACATGTATCAGCACTCTACTGGCCGGTCTACATAGAACACCAAAGGTTGAAATGAACAAAGCCATGCTCTATTCTTGATTGAACCTCGCATAGGACGAACGGTACAACACATACATAACAGACAAAACTCCCTTCGCCTGGAAAAAGAAAACGAAAAGCAACCTCGTCACGGGCAAAAAGCAGATACCCTTCACCACCTGTTCCGCCCGAACACCAATCCCCGATCCTAAGCATCGTGAAGCCGTCTCAGATGAGGTTAGAGATTAGGTGAAATGAAACCGAGATAAATCAGGAAACTTAAACGGAAGAAGACACAGAAGACATAGAGAGTGAGGTTAAGAGATAGAGAGATGGGTTTGGGGGGGGAGAGAACGCCAGGGAGTAAATGGACGCCGTCTCACTACATCAACGACACGAGGCAAGACCATTGTTCCAGGAACAGATACTCCGCTAGCAAATCAAGAGGATACAGAGGAGGATAAGCGAGAGGAAACGGAAGAAGGACGTTCATAAGCAGGAGAGAGAAAACACAAGAAAGAAGAAAAGAGATACGTAAAGAAACACCATAAGACGGCTGACTAGAGAGCCACCACCCAAAAAGATTCCGAAATAACAAGCACGAAGGAAAGAAACCGGTTGGAAAAACACCCCATCTCCGAAGATTTCAAATGCTCCATATCGTTAGTGCCGTTGTGGCCCAAAGTCCGCCTCTACCACCTTGCCCTTCTTGCCCTTTACCGTAAACTCTGCAAGAAGCGCGACATGATCACTCGGGAAGTGGAAATTCGGGAACCCGGGCACGCGGCGCAGGTATTCCTTGTCCACTTCGCCGAGCAGCGCCGAGACATGCAGAGTGTTGGAAGAGTACCAAACATAATCGAGAATGGCTGTGAAGTCGGATGTATAATTGGTGAAGCTCAGTTCTCCCATGGAGGAGTAGGCTGACTTCAACTTGAAGGGATGTGTCATACCCACGCGGCTGAGGTTTCCGTAAAGTCGCTTCTCCAAGTCGGGATGGTCTTCGGGAAGTCGTCCAGTGGAGATCAAGTTATAAGCCGCAGACCCAGGTGAGGAGTTGAAATCACCGCACATGAGAACAGGGATTTGATCGCCACTGGTGTACTCCATCGATGGGGCAGGTTCCACCACAGGCGCGGTCTCTGAGCCACTTTCGGCCTCCGAGAAGCGGAATGCGGTCTTGTCCGTGCAGGCGGGCCATTTGGCGTAATTATCCGAAAGCTTGGTGATCTCCTCCATCAGAATCGCAGTCTGGATCAGCTTGACGTCCTTGAAGGCAGGATCCCAATACAGATGAGCGTTGACACTGATGAAGCGAGCACCAGTTTGCCGGTTTTCTAAGAAGATCACAACGGCGATGTGGTCCTTCTGCCAAAGTCGGTTGTAGATATCATCTTGGCCCTTGGCGTCGGGTCGACGGACGGCTGTCTGGCCAAAATTGATCAATTGCTTGTCCAAGAGGATGTACTTGCTTCCCTTGAAGAATGTAGCACATCCATCGACCATCCGGGCATCTTCCTCTTGCATGCCCATTGCACGACCACGTGGCCAGTATACACCTTTATAGTCATTGTAGGCAAGCTGTTCCCGGAAGAAATTGTTGTAACTTCCCTGATCAACCTCCTGAAGGCAGACAATATCTGAGTTGTGGGATCGTAATTCGTTGAGAATAAGCTCGCGGCGGTATTCCCAGGACAGGACACGTGAGGGCACATAGCCGTAGTGCGATTGGGTTGCGGAAGAGTCACACAGGGTGTTGTACGACAATACGGTGATCTTTTCGGTATTGCTGTTGGACGATGTTGAAGTATCATCAAGGATCACCCAGTCACGATCGGGAGGAGGTAGGTGGACTGTAATGATAAAGTTAGCAAAAAATTGAGCGGAGGAAGCAGGTAGAACATACCTGGCATCTCTTCTTTCAGGTACTTGATGAGAGCCTTGGTTCCATCCTTCATGATCTGAGATTTCAGAACATCGTTCAGGGGGTTACCCTCGATGCCCAAGGTTTCCAACCGGTAAAGGTACCCCATTTCGTAAGGGAGAGTGCGAATGTTATTATCGAAGAGAAGGAGTTTCTTGAGGTTTGAAAGCATGCCAAGTTCTGCTGGCAGCTCCGTCAATTCATTGCCCGACAAATCCAGATGGTTCAACTTCCGCAGTTGTCCAATAGCCGGGGGCAGCACCTTCAACTTGTTAGAGTTGAGGTACAGCTTCTCAATAAAGGCATAGTTGAACAACGAGGTAGTCAAAGCGCGCAATCCTTGACCACCGAAATCAAGCGCATTCCAACCCTGTCGGCTAGCTGGCTTCCCCGCAGATGCACCATTTCGCCCATCTGCGCCGTTTTCTGTGTCGGTGTTGCTGGACATGAGCTGGATTCCTTTCGTTTGTTGCGCAATGACGCGGGCATGGTAGTGGGGAGAAGTAGCTTGTCTCGATTCTGCCGCAAGCTGGAGCTGCTGCTGCCAATGCTCGTTCATTGATTCATCAAGGTCATCGTCCGCGGTCGGTACTCCGTTCTGCAAATGAGTCGAGGTGAAGTGAGAAGTTGTCGTCGTGGCCAGTGTGCCGCCGGGGAAATTGTGTTGATGGGTGAGGTTGTGGGTCGCTTGTGAGTGGTGGGCATGATGGTGCGGTTGCTGTGTATGATGAGAGTGGTGGGTTTGCGACTGGAATTTCGGGATCGGCATGCCAAACCGCTGGTGGGCTTGACCGCCATTCATCATAACATGCTGGCCTTGGTGGGTTTGGCCGTACATGTTGTTAAAAGGGCTGAGAGCAGCAGCCTGGTTGAGGGCAGGGGATCGAGAGGGGGAGGGGGTGTCGTTGTTGAATTTCAGTCGACCCGTCGGAGAATTGGTCCCGTTTCGAACAATGTGTCGCTGGTGAGGGTTCTGCTGTGCTTGTGCTTGGAAGTAGAACTGCCCGGCCCCAGGCTGCTGGAACCTGTAGGTACCATCTGCCATTTAACGTGGCAGACGAGACCGTGATTTGTTTCCCGGATGGAAAACCTGTTGGTTGGTGGGCGGCGCTAAGTTGAGTTGGGTCGAGAAGAGGAGAGGAGAGGATCGGAGGCGGTCTCTTCTCTTCTTCCACATAGAGGCCTAAGGCAAAGAAACACCTGTATCAAACCACAATTGGAGGTCGCCGGAGGCTTTGGCACTGAGAGTATCTTTATGTGTGCAATGGAGCGGTACCTAAGGGCGTAGATTGGGCGGAAGGGTCAAAAGAAGGCGTGATCGGAAAGGCAAAAAGAGATCGAGTTTGGTGATGAGTTGAATAAAGACCAGTGGGGCACGATTAACGTAGCAAAGAGGAGCAAACCAGACGATTGTCTCCAGGTCGATGAGGACGTCCTGAGATGACACTGGTGGTTTGCAACGAGGCGGGAGTCACGAGATCACGTGAATCGCCGCAAGGGCCAAAGTCTTCCCAGCTTTGATGAGGTTGAATTGCCAAGACAAACCGGTTCCCTCAACGGTTGGAAGTATCTTTGATGAGAGATTGGATGTTGATCACATATTCTTCATCTATCCTGCACTTTCGTATTACTTTGTGATCGATGGGACTGTTTATATAAAAGCAGCCACGTGGTCGCCTTGCCTGCCAAAACTACGGGCATACGCAGCTGTCTCTGGCGACCTAAGTCGAAGCTGCATGGATTTTGATTGTGCCTAGACATCTTGTTTGAAGCTAGCCAACACTACAGGGTGTACAATGAAAGGCATCGGGTCTAGGATGGAGATATATAACAAGTGGCCAGACCTGGACCAGAAGGTTGAAAGAATGAGCAACAGCCTGATCTATTCTAAGCCTCGCTAATAATATCCTAAACTTCTCAAATGGAGTCTGTCTTTGGTTTTGTTCTATAGGTCATAGGATCCTGTGTCAAAGTACAACAAGGTCAGTGAACCTCTTGGCGTGAACTGCTTGGGCGAGACACTATGTTGCAATAATAATGAATGGACTGATTATTCAATCCACATTCCCCAAATTCCACAATCGTATGATTAAGGAGTATACAACATAGGCCGCTTCTATTACTATGCTGTATATTGTATGGTGTTTACTCCATACTAGCAGTGATAATTGGCTAATGCCTTGGCACACCACCCTAACAACATAAGATATATGGGGTACGGAGTTGAAGGATCACTATCAAACGATGTCTAAATAGAGGGTTTTCTATAAATAATTCCAATCCTCAAATAATACTCCTTCTCACCTTGAGAGTCCTACGAGTAGTGAATATAGAGATATGTGTCATTGAGATGATCTATGTACGGCTGCTGCAAGGTATCACAGACCTAGTATAACTCGCATATTCACAAAAAAGGGGTATCTGCAGCTTAATGCAACCACATGCTCTAGAAATTACCCCGTACCTCCATCTTCTTACCGATCATATTCGCCTCGCCAACTCCGTCTATATTCCGTATATTTCCGGGTCTTCAAAAATGAAACTAGTCCTAAACCAAAGTACAAAAGTACGTGGCAGACGCTATTGTGTCGATCGAATTCTCGTATCATTCTGCAGGTACGTTAATACTACCCTGCGGAAGGGGCACGGATCACACTGCAGACCAAGACGATCGCGTGGAATAGTCCATGGACAAGTGCCTGGGACTTAGCGTAGGGCACGGGGTAAGCCGGTAGATTCCAGCGTTGTATCAGATAAAGCGACAGCTCAGTCTCAGAGTGTCGGGGCCCAGACTGCGGATCCAATAAATCACTTGGTGATGGATATGGCGGGTAGGGATCTCCGTGTGTATCCAGTTTTACCGTTTGAATTGGATACGGAGTACGGAGTACGGAGTACATACGAGTCTGCTAGTACTCTCCTGGCTACACTTTGCTTTTTCTTTTGGATGTATCTTATCAATCATAGAAAGCATTGGCCTATATTTAAGGACGTTATACTCCGGACCTCGTATATGGTTCTAGCCCCTGAAGACTATATAGATCAAAAAGCAAAAGCGACCTAATATGCAATAGTTATACAACATCCATCACTTCTATACTCCGTAGTCTCGACCCGTTAGGCCAGCATTCCCTTTTTGGCGAGGGAACCATGGGTTATGGCTTCAATGAGAGTCATGATGTCAAGACCGGTATAAAAATAGGGAGACACTCATTCGCACTCTTCACGTTCACTCAATGTCAAGGTAAAACACCCCAATACTGATATTTTACTACCGGAGTAAAGTACTGTTACTGTTACCGTGAAGACACGAACAGACTAAACTAGACTCGAGTGGATATCAACTTCCAGGGGTCAGGTCTGCTTTTTTCTTCCCTCCTTCCCCCCCATTTCTTCTTGGACTTCTCGAATACTCTTCGCTTCGAAGGATCTGCGTTGTACGCAAATCCAAAGGATTATCTGCAGGCTCAGTCCTTTTGTTCTGACGTTGAACAAGAATTTTCAGCTTTGCGACCGGCTGCGCTAAGAATAATTTCCGAAGCCGCTTTGGTCCCCTGTCACTTTTCCTGTTCGACTCTATTTTTTCGATTTTTCGTTTTATTTTATTTTATTTCCCTCGGAACTGTCTTCCACTCGAAAAAAAAGCATTAAAGGAAAAGAAAAGTATGCCTCGTTCATGAAATCAGTCTTGCGCCGAGAATGCGACCGAACCCACAACCCATCTTCAGAGTCATAGGGGACACCAATCGATACACTTGAAGTGATATGGACGTAATGGCGTTGGGGTTCTCAGCCGCAGCCGCAGCCGCCTCCGGTTCCGACCTACACTCCAACATGAGCTCGACACTGGCCGCTACGTCCTCCTCGTCCTTGAGTTCACTCACGGACTACTCAACATACCCTCTGATGCGCTATGGTGGCCGCACCTACTTGCGCGACCCGGAGAACGTCTACCCTCTGCCTTGCGACCTACCCGAGATCCACCGCCAAAGCTTGCGCACGCTGATGCTGCTGCGCGTCCTCGGCGGCCCATTTTGCAACCCCCACCTAGCCAGTCGGCCGCCCAAACGCGTCCTGGAGATCGCATGCGGGTCTGGGCTGTGGTCTGGTCTGTGCCACGACTACTTCGCCCGCAATGGCCATCCCGATGTGGCTTTTGCCGGAATAGATATTATCTCCATTGCGCCGGATATGCGCAAGCAGGGAATGAATTGGCAATTCAAACGGCATGATCTGCGTCGGCCCCGCTTGCCATTTCCGGACGACTATTTTGACTTTGTATTCATTAAAGATGCCGGCATGTGTCCGTACAGTCCCGCGCAATCAGCATCGGGCTTGAGCGAGCCCCTGCGCGTGTTAAAGTCCGGGGGCATCCTGGAGGTGTGGGATTCGGATTGGAGCTTCCGCTCGCTCCTGCCCAATCCAGCCCCGGCGCGGAAAACCACATCGAAGGAACAGGAGATCGCCGACGAAACAGCTACCTATACATTCTCCTCGGCCACGCCGTTTACACGAGCGCAGAACAAGTTCGTCGTTGATTATAACTCCTGGGTGGAAAAGTCGTTCGACCGTCTCAAGTTGACGGCGCTCCCGTGCGCAACCATCGGTCTATCCTTCAACTCCGAAGTGGACTTGCTGGAAAATATAGACAGTCGCCGCGTCGCAATCCCACTAGGTGACTTGCGCTGGGAGCGCGACGGCCAAGGCAAGGATTCCAAGAGCCGTCCACGCAAGGCCCTGACTCCAGAGCAGATGTCCATCCGGCGCACGGCTCTTCTCACCACAATCCAGATGATTGAAGGGCTGGAGCCGATATTGATGGAGTCTAGCGGAAAGGGCCGGGACGAATGGGACCGATGGTGGGCTGCAATGACAGCCGACCTCTTGCAGAAAGGCGGACTCGCCAGCGGCGAGTGCCTCGAAGTGAGCGCCTGGTGGGGTCAAAAGAAATGAACCCCTTGAGTCAATTTGGAGTTCCGGTGGGCAAAAAGTCAAGTAGTGACCGTTCTGCACTTTTTATTGGTGATACCCCAATTTTATTTCTATCTTTCTAGGTTTCTAACATGCACATGATCTGGACATTTTTAGAGAGGTGAGAGTCATGGAATTATCAGGCCTCACTTCCATATCGCTTTTTCAGCGTTCGGTACCGCTTCAAATAGTACCTGGGGTTTTGTTTATCTTGTTAGTTGCCATCAACGCAAATTCTTGTGATGGGGGTCAAAATAGTTCTTGCATGATGCCATGATAATGAGGAGTGAACCTATGCACAGTGTATCTAGCCAGACACTACCCATTATGGGTGCAATGTATAGAAGAATGACATGTACGAATGATTCCACTTCCAGTTGTAATGAAGCAATATAGGCAGTGAACGAGGAAGATCGGACGACAATGAGATATATAGGGTAGGGAAAAAGGGAGGGTTATAGGGAACAGTCTTACAGTGCTTCCACTTCTACATTGAACAATTAGCAAATATCCTGCAACCGAGTAAAGGATATGAATCCCAGGGACATAGAAAGCACCCACCTTTCTTCACAAACTCCGCCCTCGCTATTCCCTTTCGGATCTGCTCATCGTCGGTAATCTGAGTCTGACTTGCAAATGCACGGTGTAGACGATCCCGGAAATACTGATAGCCCAGAGGGTATTCCCGTCCCAAGAACAGAAGCTCTGTATCTCGGGTGATTAGCATGTAGCATGTAACAGATGACGGGCTTGCGACTGAAGGGAAAAGGAATCCAAGTTATACGGCTTCATACCTTTGTAGACGTTAATGACCTGTCGACGTAGCTCAAGATTTACCATTATCGTTCCATCCAAGAACTAGGATAGTTGAAGGATCAACTTGGGTGGTGGGGATGCGGTGCATTAAAGGTAGGCGGCTGAGAAGCTTCCAAACCTCGGGTGTATCGGTGACGTGCCTGGCGGCCTCCATGACATATACTACCATATTCCATGTTCTTGGGGCAATATGTATTTTATTTCTTGGGTTTACGTTTACGTACGAAACTATATAAACTCTGTAATTATACCATACATACTTATAGATTAATATCAATACAGCTTCGGTTCAAACGCCCTACTATATTCACGCGGGGTTCTAGCCGACCTCGGCCCCAAGCTTCTGTTTATCGGTTATCGGCGGACAGCGGTCTCGCCGAATCCAACACCGCAACTGTCTCTCTCAACAACCACGCGCAACATGCTCCCTCGATCAGCCTTCCGAGCGCAGCTATCTGTCTCAATTTCTCTGTGCTCGAATGGCGGGCGTCGTCTTTTCTCTGCGACTGCCTCGGCACACAGTCAAAACCTCCCCGACTCGGCCCCGATCAATCCACGATGGCTCACAATGACCAAGCGAAGGATCGGGAAGTGCCTGATGTTTGGGATGAAGCCAGCTCAGGTTGACGAGGGGGGCAAGATTTTACAGCAATTGGCTAAGGAATGGCGGGAATTGATCGCTGGGAGTGAGGGATTCCTCACGGATAAGAAGCGACGTAGTTTGTTTCGCCATAGTGTTGTCTGGGGAGAACAGGTATGAGTTGGGATATATTGCTATATATACGATGGGGATGAGAGTCATTAATGCTAAGTCTGACTGTTGTGGATTAGGATATTATGGTGAGAGCATTCGTGCCCCTAGTGCGCTTACAGCATGCGCTATCTTGGATTTCTGGACTAAAGCTAACTGGATGATAGGGTATGCTCCGCCTTTTTTTTAAAAAAAAAAATATTTACTAGTACTCCAATTCATGGATTATACCGTACTAATTAGTCCAAGGTCACGTCAACAACGTTACCTATGTTCGATACGCGGAGACCGCGCGAGTGAACTGGACGCGCAATATGGGTAATTATATCGATCCGGCAAACAAGAAAGCATGGATAAACATGCTTTGTAATACGGGAATCGGGCTCATTCTGAAGAGTATCAAGATGGATTACAAATTTGTACTGTATCCCTGAGACCCAAACCCCACACTACTGGAAAACAACTAAGTAGACCTATTTACTTACTATCACGCAGCCCATGGAATCCCCAGACAAAATCACCGTTTACCAAAAGCTGCTCCCAGACCCATCTGGACATCTTGCATCCCAATCGGCCTTCCGATTCGAGGTCATGATCATGTCTGAAGCCCACCAACGCCCCGCTGCTCGTTGCTTCGAGGATACCGTGGTCTATGACTACGGTAAGAATCGCAAGACCGAGAATATCCCGCCGTTTATGATGAAGCAGTTTGAGATTATGTGGGAGCAACAGGAGCAGGAGAAGAAGCACTGGAGACGGAAGATAGCTGAGATCGACAATCGGGTTCGGAATCTTGAGCTTGAGAGCTGGGATCGGGTTGATGCCGTGGAGGATAACGGGTCTGCGTCGCAGTGATCAAAGTGGGGGAAACGTTGAAGAGCGGATTATATGGGACTCCTTGATTGACACGTTGTAAATACGCATTCCTCAAGCATACCTGACTACTGATGAAATCTCGGACGAGGGAGATATGGTCATAATATTAATGGTAGCAGCGGCGATGAACCGACATCTCATTTAAGAAATGATTTGGGCAAAATTGGCTTAGAACTTGATCCAGGTGTAATTATACAGGATGAGAACCCACGGGTTTGAATGTCACATCATGTACATACATGCACATCTAACCCGTGATCAAAAACAGCCCTAATTCATGATTGAACTGCTCCCCAGGGCCACAACACTGAATCTACCCGTTATTTTATTCGCCCGCAGACATCAGCTGGGTGTTCGCCAAAGAACCATTACCATACGAATCAGAAACAGAGATCCACCTTTAACTCCACTAGTCAAACAACTCAAAGTTTCAACCTCTTTGCAATCTCAATCCCCTCGGCAATGGATCCCACTCGTGCATCAATCGCATACCCTTCACTCTCCAACTTTTGCAACTCAGCCGAAAGCTCCGACACCGGAAGCGTGAAACATTCAATGAACTCATTATCCTCGAGATCAGGCTTTGGATTCTGATTTTCCGGAAGAGACATGTCAACCTGAACGTAAACCATGTTGAAATTGGCATTGCAGAAGCCGGGATCTGGACAAGTATCTTAAGTCAGCTAATATCCAGTAAGACGAACAGCGGGCTTACCAACCGTTATACATAATGCCAGTGGTTTTATCAGAAACGCCGATATACCCTGTCTCTTCTTTCAGCTCTCGAACTGCAGCTTGCTCGATTGTCTCTCCGGCATCGATCAATCCCGCAGGGAGTTCTATAACGACCTGGTCGATTGGAGGCCGGTATTGCTTCTCCAGCAGGATCTCAGCGCCGTTCATATTATTCAGAAAAGCGACGATGTTGACTCCATCGACAGGGGAGTCTGTGGGCCTTGTCTACGATTTGATTAGGTCTTTACAGTTGCATTTACATATAGGTTAGAAAATCGTACCTGGCGTTCGGCAGACTCCCAGTCTCTCTTGACTCCATTGGGATCGATGTAGTTCGTTTTGACTAGTCTTTTCCATTTGGCTTCTTGGGAGGTCTAAGGCCGTAAGTAGCTGAGAATATAATAGTCGGGTTAGGAGCACATACCAAGGGCTCTCGTGAGAGAAATGTGGACTTAAGTTGCGTCATTTATGTAATTGCCCCTCGGCTTTTCGGAATGGGAATTGCACTGCGAGTAACTGTGACCTAAATACTGGGTTGTAAGAATGTCCCAATTGATTGCAATCGTCTAAAGCGGCCAGTGCCCGCGGGCGGGGATAACATGATGACTAATGCGGTGCTGGCCCCCCGGGGCCGGGGCCGGGCCTGTCCAGATTGACAGCCTTAGGAATGTCAACGCGTGTTTTTTTTTAAACGAGCTACCGTAGCATATCATTTATACTCATTCCGAATGGGATTTTCAATCATATTTGCCTCCAGAAATTCCCTTGGTAACATTGTGTTCTTAGGGATATTGCCTATGAGAGCACCGCTGTTCTACACATGACAGGGTCCGCATGAGTTCATCAATTATAAACAGCGTCAATCCTTGTGTCGCTGTCTGTATTTATTATACCGATCCCCGGCGTCACCGTTGCTTTGGAATGTGAAAGGATTCACCCTGGACTTACTACAGCGCCGATGTTTACCCCATTACTTAGCAAAGATTATCTTGGGAGGATGAATACGACAGTTGACTATCGTGCTCGGAAGATCAGACATAGACGGGTGTTTATACTGGGTCTAGTTGTATTGGGGACTTTAGTGATGGTTTAGGTACTACTACATGCAGCTGTATATCGGTACATATGTAGTTCCAAGATTTTAGGTGTAGTAGTAATTTGATTTTGGCCAAGATTGGCCAAAGTCTTGGTTGAAGTTAAAGTTAACATTATGCGGGGGATGGAATCTGCCTAGATGAGCTTCGGGTTCATTTCTCATGTCAAAGTATACATTTTCATTTATTGTGAAGAATCTTATCTATCCCTTGTTCATTCCTTGAGCATTTCATATGTCGCTTTCTTTCTCTGACATTTCTACAGTCATTGCTGGATGAGAAAGAGATATCTAATGCATATATTCCGTTTTCGACATTTCAAGAGTACACATAGGGGCCATATTTTCCGATCCATATCTGTTTTGAGATATACTATACTAGAGGCAGTATTCATGTGTATACCTGTGGAGTATAAATTTGCTGTTAGGATCCTAGTGTTTCAGGATACATACTAACTGCATGCGGTTAAAGTAAACTTTAAGCAAATTTGCCTCAATGAACTACAAAAGATTAGATTGTTCAATTGATTAGACTATGAATGAATTATAGAGGCTAAAAACCTCCACAAGTTTAGCCACTTCCGTAGCAATTACTGGACTCAAAGACCCCGCCACAGGAGGGGAGAGCCGGGATTACTAGGAAAGCGAAAGGATCGACCTTGAAAACCCGAAGTTTATCGGACCCAAGCAAAACCCGGTTCTAAAATAGGCAAGGCGGACGCGCTAGTGGAAGTGTCTGCAATTGTCTAGAATTGCCTATGCAGCTTATTGTTCTGAACTGGGGCTGAAAATCTGGAAGTATAAAATGCGAAAGAAGTGATCGAGATGGTGCACCCTATATACTCCAGGTGAGACAATGGTAGGGCTCATCGTATAAAAATAACTTAAGCCATCACCAAGCCCAGCCGTCGGGCCGATCTTTACTAAGCTTGTGGCTGATCTACGAAACCCTTCAGGGTTGCCAAGCCCGGGTATCGTATAAGAGGGGAAGGATCGGAATTGGCAAAGACTGTACGGCTTCTGTCTTTTACTTTAGGATATCTTCTTTACAGTGTATATAGATATCTAGTCTGCACGAGGCATCTTGATATATCCAAAAACGTCACCATTTGGAGATCTACCGACCCATGTACTCGTATGATACGGAGCCTTCAGGAAGATGCACGAGATAGCCGAGCATGTGATGATCCAAGAAAGAATGTGGACGACCCTGTTGATACACACCTTTGATACACACGAGCTTCAGTTCCCCGTACTTAATCCCATGATGCTCTCCAGGTTCGGGATTGCGTGTTCATACATGCAGGCGCATCCGCAAGCGAGTCCCCATGGATCCGTAACACATATCATAAGTCCGGCACAAGACTGACCCCGCAGCAGACGGGTCGAGAAACGGTCGATCGACAATCCAATCAGTCAGGTTGACAGCAAATAGGGACCGGTTATCTGAACAGGCTTTCAAGTTGATCTGTATACCGTAGGTACTCCGTCACTAGCTTATCAGCACTAGTCAATCCGTTTTGAAGAAAGTCTATATAGCGCCGAGGCAACGAAAACATCAGTATCGTAAACTCGGCTGGATAAAGCGAAAACACGCTTAGGATTGGCCAATGTGCAGGTATCCGCGCTGCAGGACCCGGCAACCACAAGCCGTATAGCTCCTATATAGGGGGCGTGACCTGTCAATAAGCCCCAGAGTATCGTAAGATACAGAGGCCAAAGAAAGAAAGCTTGGCAGTGGATTGGCCGTATTGACTGGGATTTTCCATGCAGCAACTCCAGATCGACAAAGAAGCCACGGGAATATATTACCAGGAGCTCTTTAATTGAATTTGCAATCCGGCGTCGCGCAAGTAGACAGTACCGACGTGACATAGTGGCGAATGGTATTGAGGCCAGGTACCGCCTACCCGAACGGCACCAGTGATCGACACTGAATGACAGTACCAATACCAAATTCTGTTTCTTTCGACTTCATACAATTCCACCTGGGCACTTTTTCCCCTTCACGCTTCCACGTAGAGCGTCGTCTCTTGCCATTCTCGCTCATTTCTTCTTTTCCTTATACATCTACTTACCATTTCTTTCTCATCTTCATTACCATACGAGCCACTCTGCACCATTTCCTTCCCCCCACCATATTCAATTTCAGTCCGTTTTCGCCTTTTTCCTGGTCCCAGTCCTTGGCTTCATCCCGCCAAGCTGACTCGGACCTGGGTTTCGGGCTCCCTCGTCCATGACACGCTCCGCTGCATCTAGGAAGAACCAGAGCAATCGGCAGGAGAATGGCCTTGTCGGTCCCGGCAAGAAATTAACTAAGCAAAAGTCAAGCGGCCATCTGAACGGCAACTCGGGCAACGGCTCTGCTACCGGTCCGGGCGCGTCCGCTCACTTCGATCTATCCTCCGTACGGTCTGCTAGCGATACGGCTTTGATATCTCCGACGGTTGCCGGCAAAGGAGGAGATAGCACGAAGGCAGATGGCAATGTGCGTGGGATGTTGAATGGACATAGCAAGGGTGGAGACATGACATCTGCGCAAGAAAACGGCGATGTCGCCCAGAATGGTGGCATAGCAGGTCATGTCTCTCGCAATGGAACCTCGAAACGATCCGGATCCAATGCTTCGATTAATCCGCTCCAGCTCGCATCGACTATCCTCAAATCGTGCCCGATGTACGACACTATCGCCATCTTGATTTTTTTGCTCCAGCTTCCACCGATGGTCTTGACCCTCGTTCAGTTCTTATTCGCCTCCTTGACTTTCATGCCTCCCAGTGGCGCCGCGGCCGGTTCTTTGTCGTCGAACTTCGATATTTTTCAGGGTCCGGCTGGGACGCCATCTCTGGGGACAATGATTGCGATGGATGGGTTCTGCATACTTCTCTGGGGCCTTTTCATGTGGAACTGGGCGCAGAAATTTGCCATCGATCTCGCTCATGTCCAAGTTGCTATCACCTTGGGTGGCGGGGGTTCCGGGAAGAACGGCGGGGTCAATGCTCTCTGTGTCGGAATTGTTCTGCTTCTTCATCTTGTTCGCAGTAAAGGCATCCAGGACTTTGTCTTGGGTCATCTTGTCTCTGCTAAACTGCTCAGTCCCGATCTTCTCTCCCAATATTCGCATCTGCTACCCGCTGAGTTCCGACACTCCGAAGCACAAACGTCTCCGAGCTGGCTCCGCAGCCTTCTTGCGGTGCATATCCTCGCACAAGCTGGAACCGCCATGGCGCGACGTTCGATGGCCAAGAATCGGTCACCGACACCGTTACGGACCGGCAAGCGGGGAGATACGGAGGCTTCTGCGGGATCACAAGGACAGGCAGATTCTGCTCTGGAATCTGCTGCCAGTGTTTCGTCTTGTTTCGTGGGACCTGATGGTCAGTTGAAAGACGGAAAGGATCGTTTCACGTCAGCTAAGAAACGCAGACGGCAAGCCAATCAGGTTCGGAGCCGACAGCCGTTCTGGGCTGCGCTTGCCAGTACAAAAGTCACGGTGATGAGGGAATATGAACATTCGCGGGCTATCTCCAAGACAGCCCGCAATCTCACAATGACGGAGGAAGATCTCCAGGGGGTGTCTCTCGACGACGGGTTAATATGGATTACGGATGTGGATAGCTCTTCGATTAAATTCGCCGCGGGTGAGTTTACCGATGACCCCGCGGTGTCAGGTTCATTTGAAGCCGGTCGTTTGGAAGGAGACATGGAACCATTCTACGTCTGCGTCAACGGTGCGCTTTGGGCTACCGCTTCGATATGCAGAGTTTCAGACGCCAAGGGACCGAGCGTTGTCCAATGGCGGGGCGAGATTGCTGGACTTGCTCCCAATTGCGCATACACATGTGCATTTGTACGAAGCGATACCGACGAGGAAATCTGTGTCATGAGTGTCAAGACGCCTTCAACGACTGACACAGAGCAAGGTAAGTTCAGGCTAAAAGACAACGTCTCATTTTCAATAAGCTCATTGCTTGAAATAGTCATTTCCGCGGTATCGACACCCCCACAGCCGACCTACCGTCCATCGTCCCCCACAACGACGCTCAAGAACTCTATCAGCAATGCGGAATCAAAGTTGAACGAAAAGCGCAATCGTCTGAAAAAGACGAAGAACGACCATAAAGCTGTTATCTCGAAAATCCGGAAAGAGCTCGATAACTTCAATGCTCGCCTCCAAAGCGGAAATGACGAGAATCGCCAAAAGCAGCGTTCGCTTCAACTTGAACGAAACATCCGGCAGACCGAAGAGGCTACTGCGGTACTAGAGGTACAACTCGACACCATGGAAAGCGTTCCTGAGGAGGAGATGGAAGAGTGGGCGGCGCACAAAGCGGACTTCGAACGCGAGCTGGAACGTTTCAATTCGACCAAGGAAGAGGTTGCTGCTGCTCGAACGGCTGCAGCTCAGCAGGTGGCGGCACTAGAGTTGGAATTGACGCAGGCTGTTCAGAAGCGAGAGCGTCTCCAGGGTCGCCGCACCCGGGTGAACGAGCAGTATGAGCGTATCATTTCAGCCAACGCACAAGGGTTGAATGAGAGAGAACGTCGGGCCGCTGAACAATTTGCCAGGGAACAGGACCAGTCAAAGATGGAGAGCAATTTCCACGAGCAATTCGGGAGCATCAGCCAATCCGTGCAGGATTTCCAGCTGCGCACGAGTCAACTCTGGCAGCAGGCATCTGCAATTGAGCAGTCCATCCAGCAACAACAACAGCAAATGCTCCTCGAGTCTGGTCCTCTCACACCCGAAGGCAACTTGCCGGGCACCAATCCTCTGCCTGAGACCAGTGGTCCGTCGTTCAACGCATCTACGACCACTGCACCTAGCGCTCGATCTCTGATGGGGGGTCTTAGCTTTCCTCATGCGAGATCTAGTCCACTACAGATTTCGTCTTCTCCAGTCCACGAGATGCCGTCAAATCCAACTAGCCCATCGCAAGACCTTCCCTTCCTCCCACAGTTTCCAAACTCTCCTGTCGGCAACGTGGGCTCATACTTCGGGTCAGAAATTAACCACCGAGACCGTTCGTTCTCCAACCGCTCCACTCGCAGCAGCCAATATGGCTCTGAATTCTTGGACACGAACCACTTGCCACCTCTCCAGCTTGACCTAGCAGAATTGCTTGGTGAGACCAAGACTCGGCCTGGGTCTGATGGTTTCCTGCATCAAGGTGGCCGTACGGTCCTGAGCCCTTTCCAGCGAGCAGTAAGCCGAGGTAGTGGCAGTGGCAGTGGTAGTGGCGGTAGTGGCAGTGGGACCGGCAGTCCGCACTCGGCACGAGACTAGTTCTCTCGGCGGTTGCTGTTGTGGTCTCATGCCTAGCCACGCTGTCAACCCGCCATGCTTGTCTTCTGAGAAGTGGCCTCAAGTTTTGTGCGTCCGTGCTTTTGGTTCCGTCCGGTTGGATTCCCGCCTTCCGTTAGTCAATCTTTCTCGGCCTGCGCTGTGATGGCTCTGGTTTATTGGGCCGTTGTAGTGTGGCACGCATCTCGCGATGAGATGACAACTATATGGATTCGATCGAAGTGAGATACATGACAGCTCTGTTCCTAACGCCGAAAAACAAAAGTGTTCTATACTCGGTTCTTGTATACTCTCTCTCACAAAAGCGTAGACGCATCAATATCATGAAAGCATTTCTCATCTTCATCTCTCCATGTCTACTGTAGGATCATAGTGGATAGGTCGTCGATTTGGCTTTGATGCCATGTCTAATCAAAAGTATATATCCAGCCCAAACGCCGTTTTCCCAAGTATATACAATGGTTTGCCAATAGCATAAGCGATACCGTATTCTTCATCTATATGAAACCAGACATGGCTCAAAGTTCACCCCCCATCTTCCAAAACTTGGTATTTGCATACGTTAAACAAAGCCGCTCAGGTAAATCATTCAAGGCCTTATCGTCTTGTCCCAGTGCCAAAACAGACCCAGAGCCCTCAACCGCCCGAACAACAGTACCCAGCACGATGGAGTGATCATTCACATCAATCTTCTGCGGATGTAGGGTACATTCAAAAACAAAAGGAAACTCGACCGCGTCATCCACAGCGATTGCTTCCGCCCTCCGCTTAAGAATAGGAAGCGATCTTGACGGATATCCCTGCTCGTCCTTAGTAGGCAAAGCCGCGAACTCAAACTCCCCATGTCCTCTCAGCATAGAAGCGAGTGCGATATTCCCCTTAGAGAAATCCCTGGCCAGAGTAGCAGTCGCGGGACTCGGTGCAAGTAAATGAACCAGGAACCGGCGCGAGGCAAGCAACGCATTCAATGTCTCCGATGGGCGGCGCACGTTGAAAGAGATCACAGGGTCCGGGGTGAGAGTGACGGTGCTGAAGGAAGAGACGGTCATACCGCGGAAGGAGGTTATATTTTCTGAACCGGAGGGATCGGTTGCTGTTATGATTGCGACGGGGTATGGGACTCGCCGCATGAGGAGGCGGACTTGGTCGGATATAGATGTCGAGGGTGTTGGCGGTTGTGGTGTGTTGTCTGCGTGGGATGGGGCATTGGGCTTCCCTGTTCGACCATTTTCTTTTGAAGGCGCTGTGGAATTGCTGGTATATCGTCGTTGATCGGATCGTGATCGGTGTTTGGTGTATGGTACAGGCGGAGAGGTTCGGAGGGAGAGAGATGTTCCCAGGAACAAGGGTGTATAGTTGTTAATGCATGATAGTTCTGGCATTTTCTATTAGTACAGGACAGAAGCATTGGACATACATCGTGACAACCTACCTCCGAGTGCTGTCCGAGCAGTCCCATGCGCGGGAAAGACGAGCTTCATCCCGTCGGCCTGGAATTGATGGAGCTTTGAGAGGCGCTCAGGGGATCACGCAGGGCACAAAGTCACAGATAATAAGACTCTGCCAATTCATGTCTAAATTGACAGCAAAAAAAGAGAGACTCAAAGAGACATAGGGCAATATGAAGTCATGCAAACATCTAAGTTATGAAATTCCCGAAAAGAACAGGCCCGCTTACGTAACCCGCGATAATTTCTTTGCTATGGCATCAACTTCGCAACCTCCGCAACCTCCCCGATAGCATTGCGGCCCCGTCAACCTCCGCCGACCTCGACAATACTCCTTGTTATTTGCATCGGCATTTCCGAAACAACTTATACAACATGTCAATGCACACCTCTCTCCGCCGCACAGCGGTCACAATCACCAACTCAACAACCACCATCCTCCCTACAAGACTACCCACGAGCGGCACAACCTTCATCTGCTCGCAATGCCGACACGCCACTCTCCTCCGCCGCCCCAAGCGCCCCTACACCTTTACACAGCTCATCACGCTTTCGGACGGCAGCACCTTCACGCACCGCACGACCTCGCCGGCCCCGATCTACCGCTCCACGCGCGACACACGCAACTCCATCCTCTGGAACCCGTCCAGCAGCAAGCTGATGAACGTCGAGGAAGACGAGGCTGGTCGTCTGGCGGCTTTCCGTGCCCGATTCGGCCGCAGCTATGATGCCAGCGCGGCGCCTGCTGCGGCAGCGGAAGAGGAGGTGGCTAAGGACTCTCTTGCGGCTAAGGACCCTGCTCTTGCGAAGCGGGCCGAGGCCGAGGCGAAGGCTGCTGCTAAGGCGGAGCAGGAGGAGGAGGATAACTTGCTTGATTTGATTAGTGCTTTCGGGCAGAATGAGGCGCCGCCTCCGCCTGAGAAGAAGGTTCCTAAGTTCACTAAGAAATAGTGGGCTTTGGATGTCCCGGGTTGAATCAGGTTGTTCTGTTTTGGACTGCTTGGATGGGAGTTGGGATCTTCTTTTGCTTTTTTATGTTTTCTTTTCTTTTCCTGTGTTTTTGATCTTGTACAATATACATATGTCTGGTATGAGCCTGCTGTATTATACCAAGAATTCATCTTTTCTCTCATCCATGCTATATTTTTGTCAAGTCTATACTATTACCATGGGTCTTGGGAGCACCTGCCCAGGTGGTCCTTATATACTGTGACTATTCATACACAGCCGATTATCTCTAACACAGACTAACACCTGAGTCTTGTTAACAAATGATACAATATAAAGTAAACACGCATTAGCATTCATCACCCCACCTCAGCAGTATCTCGCAAGGTACTCAGCTCGTGGGCATGTGGCTGCTTGATGGAGTGGTCTATGGTAGGTATCGGTCTAGGGCCAGAGGAAGATGTACGAATTAGGACAGTATAACTGACTAGGGTAGATAATGATTTTATTTGCCACAATACGCGAACAGTGGTATTCGAAGTGCAGTGGAAATAGAAGAAAAACACAAAGATCCCCAGCTTGCTGAGGACCATCATCAGTTGCAGCATGGCATAAACAAACATCGCGAAAGGGTTGTCCCATAATAAATACAAAAGACGAGATAGAACGGTGCTAATTCCGGGGTTGGGAAACAGCACCCGAGACTGAGGCATATCAAGCGTCATCCTCAGCGGCCAGTAGCCCCGATTCATCTGTGGGCTCTGCCGGAGCGGGTGCATCGCTCACCTCGGGGGGTACATAATACGGAAGTCCTTCCTCGCCAGCATCTAGACGCAGAAGGAATGTCTCCCAGAGTTCGATCAACTGTATTTAGGGTTAGCTGGATGAAAAAAACCACCAAGACTTGGCGAGAACTTACCTCTTTCTGAGCCTCGACTGCACTTTCAAGGAATGTTTCCACGCCAGACTTGAAGTCCTCCACTTTCTCCTTCTCAAACCGTTGTAGTTCGTTCCGCATAAGACGACCCATATCTTCGAAGAGCAGCCGCGTTTGGTGCACTTTGCGCTCTGCATCTGCAACGTCGGCGTTGACTTGGTTTAAGCGGTCTTGCTGAGTCTTTCCCTGGCGGAGTAGCTTGTCTTGGTTATTCTTGCGCTTCTGTAGGTCGGACTCTGCTGCGTGCCAGGTGTGGAAAGCCTTTTGCCGCTGCGTGAAAGCCAACTTGACACTTCCAATTAAACGGATATATTCATCGATCGTGATTCCAAGCGTCAGAACATCCTGCTGCGCCTGTCGGTCATAAAGTTCCCGAATGCGCAACTGAAGTTCGGACAGGCCTTCCAATGGGTAGGAAAGGGCGGGAGACAGCTCGACGGCGGATAAGGCATGCAACGAGCTCGAAAAGTCGCTTGCGGCCTCGGATAGTCCCTTTCGTTGTATAACCACAGTATCCATTGATTTCAATAGAGCCTTCAGCTGGTTCTCCAATGCATCCAGGTAAACTTTTCGGTCGTGGAACCACTATTTATAGGTGAGCAGGCGAGACCGATGTATCAGAAACGATTCACTTACATCGTCATGTTCCACGAATTTAGTTCCTCCACCAACAGAAATACCAAAGGAGCTCAGCATTCCCTTGCTTGGGCCAATATCAGGCTCTCTGTTTTCCTTATTCTTAACATCAACGGTGAAAGCTTCACTTTCTAGGAAAATTTTCAAATCGCCGTCATGTTGAAGAATAGGATGGCCGGCAATCTTGTTGAGCATTCGTTCCAAGGCAGCTCTCCTCGACTCTACAAAGTTGGTATCAAACCGGCCAACTGCTTGCTTCTCGGGCGGAGGCGCAACGACCACTCCCGGGTTATTGCTGTGCAGGGAGTTGTAGAGCCAGAGGAAATCACGGTATCGACGGCTAACGGTGAACTCGGGTTGGCGATAGGCCTTAGAAGTTGTCTAGCCATAAAGTACTGTCAGCCTTTCCTTTTCCACTGTAAATTTTAGTGTGTCTAATTACCTTTGTCGAAACTTGATACACAATATGACTGCTTGTCAGATCTCCCACTTTGTGCGGATCTCCGACATAGATATGGAAAGTCGGCTTCGCAGCCTGCTCCACGCTCATGCTAGGCTGCGTCTGTCTTTTCGGTCCATCCGCTTGCACCGGTGGTTGCACGGGAGGGGGTCCTCGGAAGACCGCGCTCTCCTCTTCCAAATTGGCCGAGTCTGCTGCCTCCACTCCAGATGCCTGGGAGGGAGATGAAAGTGGTCGTGCACCCCGTCCGGCGAAAGGCTCTTTCTGGGGCGGTGCTGGTGCCTCATCTGTGGGTGTTGGGGTGTCCTCGACGGGCGCTTCTCCCAATGGACCGAGAGGGTCGACGGAATCATCGATGGATTCTAGTTTAGTGGCTTGTGCGTTGATCTTGCGCGTCCCTCGGGGGCCTCGTCTTCCTGGTGTTTGGACAGCGGGCGAGCTGTCTGACGCGGGGGTTGCAGCTGCTGTGTGGTAGAGTGCGCTTAGTGAAAGTTCGTGGAAAGAGCGGACAAGCCAGATAAAACATACCACCTTCTTCGGCGCCGGGCTTGGGGCCGTCGCTGTGCTTGAACCGCGAAGGCTCATCTGCATCATAAATCAGAGTGCGATTCAAAGAGCTGTGGTATGATGATTGCCTACCGCCCCACGGGGAATCTCCAGAATCGAGATCCATTGCTACCGGTATGAGATCAAAGCGAAGAGAATGGGACAACGGCGAGAAGACGAATCAACAAATTAAGATTAATGTCAGTTCAATCGGAGCTTAGAGGGTGCATGGAGTTGGAGAGGGAGCTGGTTGGAGTGGAGGCCGATCCGCATCCTTAGTCACTCACGGGATCCGGGCAACCTTGGAAGACCTGGAGTCCACCCCATGTGGTGTTTCGTCTTCAACTCTTTGCCATTGGCACTACTCTTTGATCTGGGGGCTATTTATTTATGCTCATGACGAATACAACCCACTGGATGCCAGTACCCGATACTCTCTACACATTTTAATGTCCCATGTCTCAACACGTCACATCATTTCAATTGGAGCTTCTTAATGTCGGGATGATCTATCCACGATTCCCCCGCTCAAATCACCATCGGCATTTAAAAGGTCATTAGCAACCGCGCAATATCTATTTGACCCACGGGAGGCCCAGCTTGTGCATTTCCACAGCCAGCTGGAAGATGTAATCCAGACTCTCACACTGAGTCTTCGCCTTGGCAGTGTTATCACCCCAGACGTAACTGCAGGAGGAACCAGGATAAGTATACATCAGTATCACATGGAGGGAGGTTGCTATCACTCACATTCCGTGCCTCCGGACAAGAACCGCGTATGTGTCCGGGTACTTGTTCATGGCTGCCTCCAAACCACTGGTGAGGTCCTCTTCGAAGGCGGTGTTTTCAATAATGGGAATCTTCAAAGTATCGAAGAACCCGAGCATGCCCTTTCCTTTACCGCGGGGAATACCCTTGATCTGCTCAATGTTGCTGATCTCGAAACAAGCATCCGGGCCCTTCTCCCGCTCCACCAACAGAGTGATCAGAACCGCCCATTGCGAATGAGTGTGGATGCAGCACCCAGCACCATGCTCAAAGGCAGTCAGGAATAGTGGGGTACAGGCGGAGGGATTAAGCTTGAGGGGTTTGCGGATGTAGTTGCGGTCCGAGGCAGGGTACTTGGGGGTCGGCCATTGGAGCACGAAGATGTTGTGAGGTTGTATCAATTCCTTCTGAACTCCGGACGGAGCGATGAAGATGTGTTCGCCTTGGCGGATCGATGTCTACTTTTCCATCAGCGGGGCACCGTTGAAATTTTTTTTGCCTTGCAAGTATAAGCTTACACCACCTCCGGTGCCGGTAACCCATCCCCAGTTGTAGAATTTGCGACAGAGCTCGGGGATAAGGTTGGCGGGGTGTTCGGGGTCATCAGACTGGACCAAGTGGTCATTGTTCGGCGCAACGGTTTGCTCTGAGGTGCACATGATGGGCTGCGACATATTAGCATTGGTTCAGGTAGATATTCATAAAGGTGGAAGAGGACCTAAGTTTGCAAGTAACCAAATTTGTTATTGTTCTGGTGAGCCACGAGGTTTCCAAGGTTTGCGACGAGAGTGCTGAGTAACCAATACGTTTGGCCTCGGGAGCGGGGGACTACATATTCAGCACGCCATTTTAAGGAACAGCTCTTCTAGAATTGTACTTGCAGCTTAATGTTGATATCAAAACACTTGCGATATTTAAATGTAGGAAGCTTAATTGCATCTCCAATCAGGTCCTTCTCAATTGCTATCAGTCGGTGTTTGGTGTTCTCTACTAAAATGACAAGTGTAGTTTAACTATTCATAGTTTGGCGCTAGTCAAAATTTGCTAAACATGCTTAGTAATGTCGCTGCACAATTGCACATAACTAACTAACTAGCAAGACACGCCAGGTCTGCTGTCACCAGAAGACGTGCTCTAATTCATTTTAGCGTCGGAATAGACAGACTAGCGTCTAGAGTGCTCTGCTTCCTGTTAGGGCCACCTTTAGGAATTCTTTAAGAATCCTATAGATTCCGCGACCTATGAACGGCTTACACCATCAAGGATCAATAACTGCGGGTATTTATACACCTCCTCACTTATTAGCGTTGGGAGGGAAAAATAGGATTGAATCAAATAAAAATCCAATAAAAATCAATAAATACATGACTCGCTATTAGCTTGATGAACAGCACATAAAACCAATAATAACACATATACTCTCCGAGCAACTATTTGTGTCCAATCACTGTAGAACAAGATCGAAACCCGTGTGTACACGCCCTAGTCCCGATTGGGGAGCTTAGGGAAGAGGCCACCTGGACCTTCCCCCCAGTGTTGCCCTTTCTATAAAACCACATCTCCTCTTTTCTTCACTTGGTGCTGTGTGCTCCACTTTCATTCCTTCTACTTGTTGTTCACAATATGCGCTTTAACACTGCGTTGACATCTGCTCTGGTCTCCTCCGCCAGCCTCATGGGCTACGCCCATGCGGAGGAGGAGACTGCGGATACCACCGTCATTGAAAAGCCTACCTTCACTGTATGTATCTGAAACGCTCCCTCTTCGCTCACTTTGCTAACTCCCGCAAGCCTACTAGCCTTAAAGCTCCTTTCCTGGAGCAATTCACAGACGACTGGGAGTCTCGGTGGAAGCCTTCTCACGCAAAGAAGGATGACAAGTCTGAGGATGAGTGGGCTTACGTTGGTGAATGGGCAGTTGAGGAGCCCTCCGTCTTCAAGGGTATCGAGGGAGACAAGGGTCTGGTCGTGAAGAACGCTGCTGCCCACCATGCCATCTCCGCCAAGTTCCCGAATAAGATTGACAACAAGGGCAAGACCCTGGTGGTTCAGTACGAGGTCAAGCCGCAAAGTGAGTTATGCCTTTCTACATTTGTTCGAGATCTTATATGCTGACTGGAATTGTCCTGTGTTAGACTCCCTGGTTTGCGGCGGTGCCTACCTTAAGCTTCTCCAAGAGAACAAGAAGCTCCACCAGGAGGAGTTCTCCAACGCCACTCCCTATGTCATCATGTTCGGACCTGACAAGTGCGGTGCCACTAATAAGGTTCACTTCATCTTCCGCCACAAGAACCCCAAGACCGGCGAGTACGAAGAGAAGCACCTCAAGACTCCTCCCGTGGCCCGCACCAACAAGGTCACCTCCCTCTACACCCTGATCGTCAACCCCGATCAGACCTTTGAGATCCTGATCAATGGCGACTCTGCCAAGAACGGTAGCCTCCTCGAGGACTTCAACCCTCCCGTCAACCCTGAGAAGGAGATTGATGATCCCAAGGACTCTAAGCCCGCCGACTGGGTCGATGAGATTAAGATCGCCGACCCCGAAGCCACCAAGCCCGCCGACTGGGATGAAGATGCTCCTTTCGAGATCCTCGATGAGGAGGCCACCCAGCCCGCCGACTGGCTGGAGGATGAGCCCGAGAGTATCCCCGACCCCGAGGCTGAGAAGCCCGAGGATTGGGATGACGAGGAGGATGGAGACTGGCTCGCTCCCACTGTCCCTAACCCCAAGTGTGCCGAAGTCTCTGGCTGTGGCCCTTGGACCCGCCCTCTGATCAAGAACCCCGAGTACAAGGGCAAGTGGGAGGCCCCTCTCATCGACAACCCTGCCTACAAGGGTGTCTGGGCCCCCCGTAAGATCAAGAACCCCGCCTACTTTGAGGATAAGACTCCATCCAACCTTGAGCCCATGGGCGCTATTGGCTTCGAAATCTGGACCATGCAGAATGATATTCTGTTCGACAACCTCTACATTGGTCACTCCATTGAGGATGCTGAGAAGCTCCGCCAGGAGACCTTCGATGTCAAGTTCCCCATCGAGGAGGCTGAGGAGGAGGCTTCTAAGCCCAAGCCCGAGGTCAAGCAAGAGGATACCACTGTCACCTTCCAGGAGGATCCTGTTGCCTTTGTCCGCCAGAAGGTCAACCACTTCGTTGATCTGGCCAAGGAGGACCCCATCAACGCTGTCAAGACCCTCCCTGAGGTGGCTGGTGGCCTGGGTGCGCTCCTCTTGACTATGATCCTCATCATTGTGGGTGCCATTGGTGCTAGCAGCCCTGCCGCCCCGACCGAGAAGAAGGGCAAGCAGCCCGCCGGTGCTCCCAAGGAGAAGAAGGAAGAGGCTGTCACCTCCTCCGCTGAGACTAGCAAGGGCGGTGCCACCAAGCGCACCACCCGATCCTCGGCCGAGTAAGTGCGATGATTGAAAACAATTATACGCAGAAAAGAATTTTACCCACCCAGCGAAGAGATTTGCATTTAGTTACCGCAGTGATCCCTTTCTTGTTGTGTCTTGGCCGATGTTTTTGGGGTGAAGGTCCATGAAACATTGAATGGAGGCCCGATTTGTATACTCCTGATTATCTCTATTATTTCTACTCGGTATTCACTTTATTTCTTTCTTGGAACCGCCTTGCCTTTTCACAGTGTCATGACTATGACTTAGCCCTCTCCGATATAGGAGACGTAAAGTAAAGCTTGAAATGGGAAATGCCTTCCTAAATCGCTATGATCCCTTGCCTACAACGTCTAGTACGCACCCGAAAAAGAATAGATGCAATCGATAACTGCCCCCCAGTTAGTGTCGGCGATATAAGAGCCAATTTGCAACTCCTCATTGGCTGAAACCGCCGAAAAGCTACCTTATCTGGGGGTTCACATTACAACGTGGGGAATACCCGTGGACCGCCCTTGTGACTAAGGCGGTTTCCCTCGGGCCTGGGGGTCGGGGTAGCCATAGATATATCATTCCCGAGGTCCTGGCACCCCCAGATCGTCTTCATATTTCTCTTTCTACTTAATCTGTGACTTGTCCTTTTCTCTAATTCTACTGCTTTTACCTCTCTATAATTCATCATGGCTGCTTGTCGGTCAATTGCCCGTTCCATCCCCACCGTCCGCGCAGTTCCCCGCACGGTGTCGGTAACTGCCAGAGCTGCTTCTTCCAGATCTCTCACTACTTCTTCCCTCGCCAGTCTGGTCTCCCGCAGAGTAGCCGTCCCCTCTTCATCACTCTCTGCCACTCGCCGCTTGCACGCAACAGCGCAGCGACTCGTCCAAGCAACAACCTCGGCCGTCTCCACTGCTACTGAATACCCAACAAGCCACGAAAAGATTGCCAACCCAATTGACACTGCTAACTTCATTGACAATGAGTTTGTGTCATCTAAGGCATCTAAATGGATTGATCTTCATGATCCTGCCACCAACAATCTGGTCACCCGTGTCCCCCAGAGCACAGATGCGGAGCTAAAGGCCGCTGTGGAGTCGGCCGAGAAGGCCTTCCCCGCTTGGAGGGCTACCAGCATCATGGCCAGACAGCAGATTATCTTCAAGTTTACCAACCTCATCCGTACCCACTGGGACCGATTGGCTGCGTCCATTACTCTCGAACAGGGTAAGACTTTTGCCGACGCCAGGGGTGATGTTCTCCGTGGCCTTCAGGTTGCCGAGACCGCCTGTGGTATCACCACCCAGATGACCGGTGAAGTCTTGGAGGTGGCCAAGGATATGGAGACAAGAAGCTACCGCGAGCCACTCGGTGTCGTGGCCGCTATCTGCCCCTTCAGTAAGTTGCCCACCACTTTCAATCCCTCCACATGGATGCTAATTGTTACCAAGACTTCCCTGCCATGATTCCCCTTTGGTGTATTCCGGTCGCTACCGTGACTGGTAACTGCTTGGTCATGAAGCCATCCGAGCGGGACCCTGGTGCCGCGATGATCCTGGCAGAGCTTGCCAAGGAGGCCGGTTTCCCACCGGGTGTCATTAACATCATCCACGGTGCCGCCCCCACTGTGGACTTCATCCTTGATGAGCCTGCTATCAAGGCTATCAGCTTTGTTGGCAGCAACCGTGCTGGCGAATATATCTACGCTCGTGGTTCTGCTAATGGCAAGCGCGTGCAAGCCAATCTGGGTGCTAAGAACCATGCCGCCGTCCTACCTGACGCCAACAAGAACCAGGCTCTTAACGCCATTGTCGGTGCTGCATTTGGTGCTGCTGGCCAGCGCTGTATGGCACTGAGCACCTGTGTTATGGTTGCTGAGACTAAGGAATGGCTGCCTGAGATTGCCGAGCGGGCCAAGGCCCTGATCGTGGACGGTGGCTTCGAGGAGGGTGCTGACCTCGGCCCTGTGATCAGCCCCGAGAGCAAGAAGCGTATTGAGGACTTGATTGCTAGCGCCGAGGAAGAGGGTGCAACCATTCTTCTGGATGGCCGTGGGTTCAAGCCCAAGAACTACCCCAACGGTAACTTTGTAAGTCTTACTACAGATACTCATATATGTATCTCAAACTAATTGTGCCTCCGCAGGTTGGCCCAACCATTATTACCAATGTCACCCCCGATATGAAGTGCTACAAGGAGGAGATCTTCGGTCCTGTTCTCGTGTGCCTCAACGCCGAGACCCTTGACGACGCCATTGACGTGATCAACGCCAACGAATACGGCAACGGTGCCGCCATCTTCACCCGCTCCGGCTCGACCGCCTCCAAGTTCCAGAAGGAGTGCGAGGCTGGCCAGCTCGGTATCAACGTGCCAATTCCCGTCCCTCTTCCCATGTTCTCTTTCACCGGTAACAAGAAGAGTATTGCCGGTGGCGGTGCCAACACTTTCTACGGCAAGCCCGGCTTGCAGTTCTACACTCAGCAGAAGACTGTGACCAGCCTTTGGAAGAGCGAGGATGCGATCAGCACCAAGGCTAACGTGGTTATGCCCACTCACTCATAAATATGGTATATGCCTCTTGCTTTCTTGCTTTTCCTTTAGCCGGTCATTCGCATGAAAAAAATTTGTCTTTTCTTGTTAGGCAAAACATACGCCTTATGGATCCCAATGAATGTATCTGAATTATATGCTTTTATGTCACGAAATTCATGAGTATGCACATGGATTGCAGATTGAACAGTGTATGCAGAATTACAATCGCATACTCGCTTATGCGGCCTTGCAAAGTCATTTTGGTAGTCTTTTCAGATGTGTTTTTTTAGATATACGTATTCTCCACTTCTTTAGTTTTCTAGGCAGACAGCAGAAAAGGGGAAAAGCTTAGTTTTGCGCAAACGACTTTTCCATGAAGAAACGATCTATAAGGTTATAGCATGTCTATGATCAAACTCACACTTCCCTAGTACGTACTACCATTAAACTCATTGGCCAGGTTGAAAGCTATATTGACCTATGGTCTATAGAAAACTAAGAAACTGAAAGCCCTAGAAAATACAAGGCTATACTCAACACACGAGCAAGAGCAAGAACAAGACCATCTTACTCGGCAACCTTACGCTCCTTGAAAGCGTAAACAAGTCTAGCAGAAGCAACCTTCCCATCCTTAACGACAACAACACGACGAGTATGGCGTCTCTCGCCATCAACAATCTCAAATCCCCAAACCTGCTCAGCAGTCCACCCAGACTCGACATTCTGCACAAAGCTCTGCAAAAACACGCCCTCGCCCTCCTCGGCCAAGAATCCCTCACTCTTCGACCCATCAATGAGAGTCTCGCCAATCAGGAACTTCAGCACCTTAGCGTCAGCCTCAGGCGAGCCGGCCTTAGTCTGGACCTCGAGGACAGGGCGCACAGCACCATCCTCGCTCTTAGTGCCGGCGATCTGGCGCGAGCGGCCCTTCAGCTTGCCGAAGATGTGGTCGACGTGCTCGCGCTCTTCCCAGTCCAGTCGGCGCTCTTCCTTGGTGCCTTGGATGCCGCCTGTGATTACTTGCTGCGCGTCGACGTGGATGAGCGCGGGGTTCTCGCTGTCTGCGTACTGGGTGATGTAGATTGTCACTGTCGCGTATGAGAGAGTCTTGCGAATGAGCCAGCCCACTCCTTGCTGTTTGGATTGTTAGTGGGGTTGAGTTGTTGGATGGGGTTTATGTATGGTATGGTATATGTAGGGCAGGGGATAATAATGATTGTGGTTATGCTGTGATTTGGATTATGTATTGTATGATTGGAGTATCGTGACAGGGAATATTGTGACAGGGGTTGTGAAACTCTTGGCTGTTATATTCGAGTAACCCGGAAGGCCGGAAGGTTAGGGCTTGGAGTGCATACCAGAGATAGGATAGGGTCTGTCGGGTTAGAATGGGTTGAGTCCTGTGATACATGAGTATGTTGTTATATGGCTTGTTTTATTTAAGCATACCATCTCCCATTTTCCATTCAGGTTCTGCATAGTAATATCAGCAGGGGCGGCCATCTTGAAGGTTGATGTATAGTATCCGGTTGATGCGGGTATGGCGGGGGGAAGTGGTAAGCAATGAAAGGACAATTTGGTCAGTAGAAGAAAAATTCGAACTTCAAGGGGTAAAAAGAAGAAAATAGAGGAACTTCCAATGTCACCTAATATATAGTTGTCTTGGTTAAGCAATGGTCTTCAAGCATGTGTTTATTCTCGAATCCGAGGCTAGAAGTCACATGATCTGATGACTGTACATGTGATTAAGGAGAGCTCGGTGTTTACATACTTCGAGAGCTACAATCCAATCATGTCGTTCAATAAGAAATATGCCGGTCTTCCTGATCTAGTGAGAATTCTTGGCTGATATCCACGGGGCTTCTACTGACTGTGACCAAGGACCCATCCCCAGATATCTATGAAACCCCCGACTTGACCGATGAAGCATCCACCTTGCCCGTGAGTTCGCCAATTCCACACCAAAGAGACGTCGGCGGGCCCAGTCACTGATCCTATCTAGACTACTACTATCCGCACAGACTCCGACCATGATGACGCAGGCTCAAACTCCGATATCGACCGCGAGGGTGTCAACCCCGACCAGGCGCGTTTGCACTTCATGGGCGCGGCCGTGGACGCCCGCGACGTCAATTTCTCAGATAGCATCTCCATGAAACGGCAGGCCTACCGGAGCAAGAGCATCAGCCGCCGCCGTCGACGCAGACGCGAGGACGGGGTGGAGGAGGTTGGTGACCTGAGTGATAGCGAGGACGAGTCGCTTGACCGGAGGCTTGCGCGGCTACGGAGAGAGGTCGAAGATCTCAAGGTGGAAATGACCAACAAAACCGACAGCCCAGATGCTGAAGCTGAAAACCCAGGAGAGAACCTAGGTGATGGCGTTGCGGAGCTAAGCCGCGCTCTGGATAATCTGCACGCCTCGCGAGGTGCAGCGAGCTCATCGCACTCGGCTGCGGCTTTGCTGTCTCAGAAGCTTAGGCCTGAGACTCGCCCTGCTACAGACGTAAGGAGACAATCCTCGGGGGATACACCAAGGGCAGTGCAGGCGCCAACTGCCTCTTCGGCAGGGATCCTCTCTCACGCAGCAGCATTTGACAGCCGCCTAGCGCTTCTTGAAAGCTCCCTCGGTGTCTCCAGTACTTCCAATCCATTCATCGCCGACGGCATCAACGACTCAACGTCGCGATCAGTCCTCCCAGCTCTGGACCAACTCACCTCCCGCCTGTCAGCACTCACCGGACTTCTCGTCGGCACAAGCCCAGCAGCCACGACACCAGGAGTGCCCAATGCCGCGCCAGGAATGACAACCCCACACCTGGAAGCTCTCTCCACGCGAGTGCGAAAGCTGACCACCGATGCCGAGGCGCTCACCGCAGCCCGCAGAAAAGCCTTCGAGGCCGCAAAGGCCGTCCACAACGCCCGTCTAGCAACTTCCGACGCCGACGTCGTTCCCGCACTAGAAGCATCGACCGACGACGACCATGCCGCCAAGATCCAAGCCCTCTACACCACCCTCCCAACCATCCAGTCCCTGCACCCCCTGCTCCCGAGTGTCCTCGAGCGTCTGCGCTCTCTGCGCGCCTGCCACGCCGGCGCAGCCCATGCCGCGGACTCGCTCAACGAGCTGGAAAAGCGCCATGCCGAGATGGCCTCGGAGATCGAGCAGTGGCGTGAAGGTCTGACGACCGTCGAAGAGAAGATGCAGCAGGGCGAAGCTGCTCTCCGCTCCAACGTGGAAACTGTCGAGCCATGGGTGCGCGACTTGGAGTCTCGTCTGGCACGTCTGGAAGGTCCCGCGGCAGTCTAATCCATTTCTTGTCTACTTTTTTTGATCTGCTCTGCCTGGGGCAGAGGTTTGATGAATAATACCCAGTTTGCATGTACGTCGAATGTTGAGGGCATATTGTAGTTATCTTCAATTGTCAATATCGGTTCTATACCAGATGGCCTTCTTTTTTATATGAAAGACTACTATAGTGTTACTGTAGACAGACTAGACTGTATACCACCATACTAAACATTAGATCCCTCCCTCACCCGCCTCAACACCTGAACCCTCGGTCTCATCTTAACCTCAACCCACCACCCACGCAACAAAGCACTCCTCATATACTCGCGCAGACCCTCAAACAAACCAACAGCACGCACACCAGCAACAGCACCGATAACACGGCGCTCAGCAGTTCCCGTAGCAGGAGTCCCAGGCTTCAAGATCGAGACCCCCGCAAACGAATCTACCACAAGCACCCTCTCCCAGTCCGAAGCAGGGAGCGCACGCCGGAGACTGCTCTCATCAGCATCCATGAACCCGGCCTGATCACCCGCCTCGACAACAACATAATCGAACGGCTCCCAGAACCCACTAGTGGCTTTCACAGTCTTGTCTTCGGTTTTGTCGTATACCCACCCCGACGAAGGGTGTTGTTGCACGAAGCGCGTTACGCCCGTTTGGCAGGCGAGGTTACCTAAGTAGACATTGATCGGCGCGCTGCTCTTCTCAGAACGCAAGCCCGTATCGTGGAGGACAGAGTGTTGATAATGCATGGCGTCGAGAGCCTGCCCACCGGGGTAATTTGCCGCAGACGCAGGAAGGAGCACGAGATTTGACAGACAGAAGGTGGCGAGTGTCGTAATGGCCAGGGCGCGTGTCGCCAGTCGGGCGAAAACAGAGCGCGAGCGGTGCGTCCAGAGATATGCGGCGCCGAGGGCTGCTACTGCCGTCAGGGAGGGGATGATGTAGACGATGAAGCGCCATTCCTTGTGTGGCTGGAAGCTGTACAGGGCGACGAAGGAAAGCGCCGGGATGAGAAGTGCCAGGGCGGGGGAGCGCGTGGCGGGTTGGCGTAGTGCGACGGGGATGGCGAGGAGGTAGGAGAGGGGATTGGAGAGGAGGCGGGGGAGGGAATTTAGGAAGTAGAAGGACCATGGCTCGGTACCCCATTCGGAGGACTGGCCTGCTAGGACGTTGAAGCGGAAGGCTTCGAACTCCGGCCAGAGGGGGAAGCGTTGCCAGAAGGTGCTGTCGAGATAGATGGTGAGGGCGAGCCCGGTGGTGAGGCCTACTAGGCCCGCGATGATGGTGTGTTGGAGGTTGATCCGTCTTGTTGCTAGCAGGAAGAGAGTCTGGGTTCCGACTAGGAGGGCTAACTCGGAGCGGAAGACTACGCCTGCCGTGGTGAGGAGCGCGAGTGCTAAGCCGCATTTCTTTTGGTCTGATGTTGGACGAGGGCCTGGGAGAAGCAGAAACATTGCTAGTGTTGTGATGCTGAAGGCGAACATGTTTGATAATGGCCTTGAGGCATAGAATATCAAGTGGAACTGGCTTGCTTGGAGTAGGATATACCAGATGGCTGTTAGCTGGCCGAAGCTATGGCGCAGGCCTCTTGCATATATTGCTAGGGAGGAGGCATTGAGTAGGCCCAGGATAGCTCGAGCTGGATGTCGGTGTTAGTTTGCTTGATGTATCGCACTATTATCTATGCCGTACCTAATATCTGTCGGTTGATCCCCTCATTCAACAAGATCACAGGCTTCGAAAGCATCGCGAGCGCCATAGCGCCAAGAGCGCTCCGGGGAACAGCCCCGGGGAAAGAGAAATGGTCATAGTCGGTGCGATTGAGATTCAGGTCATTAAAGCCATTTGGCAACCCGTTGGCCAAAATATCATGTACGGCCTGGACGTGGAACGACTCCTCGACTTTGGTGTATGGAGCGACGAGGAGATGAAGGAGGATCAAGGCTGGGAAGAGAAGAGCGAGAATCGCATATGCTATAAGAACCGTTAGCTTGTTAGCTTGTGTTGTTGTACAGAGCGAACGAACTATATCCCATGGTGACTGCATCCGAGGAGTGTAAATCCGGAGATCTGGCGCCTCCCGCACTTCACCTTTAACATCTTCCCCAACCCGCAAAGATGTTTTTCTTCTTCGGCCTTGGGAAGCTGTTTTACGGTATGTACTTGTTATTCCAACTCTCCAGCTTATGCTAATAACCCGCCCTCCAGTCATCGTCCTCATCATCAATGCCATCGCCGTCCTCTCCGAGGACCGCTTCCTAGCTCGCGGTACGTCCCTCCCAGCTACAGCCCGTCTAGAAGAATAAAACCTAATGAATACCGGAAACATACAGTCGGAATGGGTCGCACACAACCCGAGCCAGGCTTCGGCGCAACATACGATAGCACAAGCGTGAAAGCCAAGTCCGTCGACCTGATCGCCAGTGTGCGGACCGTAATGCGCAGTACGTTTCCCAACCCCGCGACCATACAACCCCGGTCCTTTATCTCGAATCTGAGTGACAGCTTTCAACCTGAATAAGTCGCAAGCTGTTCTACTCGATAACCGAGACGCCAGCCACGGCCCGATGGGATAGATACATAGCTAACACATCCGCGCATCCAGTACCCCTTATCGTCATCAACACAGTCATCATTGTCTACGAGCTGGTCCTTGGTTAAATTTCGCTTTTTCGCTATTTCCTCCACGCGCCGAATGTCGAACTCCCGCATCCGTCGCAACCCAGCTGCATAGTGACCCAGCTGCCCTGCCAAATCTACATCACTGTTCACTACGACTTGACTTGCGCTGTGACCTCCCCTCCGATGAGCTATTCGGAATCCGACACTATATCATTAATGACAAAGAGTGAAATGGGGCATGATCCATGCACGAGCGAGGAGCATACCGAGGGCAGAGGGGTGGTACTGAAAAACCGCTGCCAGGCGTCTACTTCATGCTGCGCTGGGTTAAGGCGTTGTTTGAGATGACAGGAACGGTGGTGGCGTGCAGCGAATAGCCCGTCTTCCCCTCGAGTTCGTTTTGATTACTTCTGGCTTGTAACTATATACCCAAAATGCTAGAATTGCAATGGACACTGATCGCGACATGGTTTACGTGAATATGTGTAGGGGATTGTAATAGGGACCCCCTTGGCTAACGGGGCCCCCCTCTGCCTGGTTCTGCCTTATTTTGCCTTACACAGAAGGCATCAATTCAATTCTGCCAGAGTCAAGTGACTACACGTCGGTTGGGCCATTTCTTTACAGAACAGCAATATTACGCGTATATCAGCGAAAAATTTATACAAATCACGGCCCTCTTAAATTGAGACTTTGTGGGAGATATTCAACCCGCAATGACAGACTCATATTTCTTATTCTGATCACCTCATCTGTGAGCGAATCAACGTTGAGTCACCGAAAAGCGCCTACAATTTCATCCCTAGAAATCATGGACTTTTTCTTCTACTGTTGTGATGGTAAAACTCATTACTTAGTCATCTGTGTCTGCATAGTTAACTAACTAGTTAACTAACTAAATAATTAACTAAAGAAGCAAATAATTCATTTCATCCGGTTCAGCGCAGCTCCTCCCGCCTAGAGCGCAGATCCTCTTGCGTGGACATTTGAATGACGCGCTATCTTGTGCGCAGTTTGTCTTCGCATAGGGAGTTGGATAGAGGAGTGTGAAGGAGGAGAAGGAGGAGGAGGAGGAGGAGGAGGAGGAGGAGGAGAAAGTGGCAGAGTCGGCGTGAGCTCCAGATGTTCCGTTGGATCAGATTATATTGTTTACTAGATCATTGAATTTCTCTCCTCTCTAAATAGTTATATATGCACAAATTTGTCATACTGGATCCATGTGATTGAACAGACAGTTCACGACTATTCGAAAGAATGAATACAATACTGCATCCTCGTTTAGGCATCCTCCAAGTTCAAGTTGCTTATTGCTAATAGTTAGGTGTCTTTCAAAGTGAATTGAGTTCCATACGGAGTCGGGAACGGTATTCTACCAACGCCGTGTGACGGACTTGGCTTAGGGCTAAGCTTAGCGTTCGGACTATCTAATCCACCCCATGTCTAACACCTAACTCATATTGACAAAAGAAAAAAAGGAGAAACCAAAGCAAGCTTCATCTAGATCAAATACCCCCGCAAAGGCGCTGTCACCTTGTAATCATCTTCCAGACCAACCACTAGACTAATCACTCCGTCTGGCCTCACCAAAGCCAGTGCACCCACGCGGGGATCCACGCCTAATAAAGCATGCCCTGAAGCATGAGGTTCTTCGTAGATTCGGTACTTCCACTGCGGCAGCGGTGCTGGCAAGGCGTCTAGATTGACCTCGTAGCGGCTGTTGGTATGCACCAGAAACAGGTCCACGATGCAATTCCGGTTCTGCGGGTTAGTGTAGAAGATATCCTCGAAGCCTCAGGTCTGACTGGACGCACCAAAACACGAGAGGGCCGACTTGGGCGACGCCAGGTAGTCTGTCAGTGGGCCCAAACGACCCTCTTGGATCGCCGATCCAACAAATGCAAACAAGTGAAAGCGTCCATTGGAGGGGGGTTCGTTGAGCAAGTTGGCCGCTATTCCGTCAAGATGGCGATAGAGATCCACCGGATACAGTCGCTTGCCGGGGGTTAATGGCTCGACTGCTTGGCAGTCGACCACGAAGGGTGCTTCGCAGGGCCGTGTCAAAGGTCCTGGCTGGTACTGGTGACCAACTCCAGAGGTGAAGCCCTGTGCCTTCTTGTATGTATCCTGGAATTGCGTATCCTCACGGAAATCCTTGCGCGAGAACAGATGCGAGAACTGAACATCAAAGTCAATCAGCTCCTTTGCCATCTGCCGTCGCTCCAGAGCATAAGTCTCCATCAGGTTTGCGTGGGCCCTCCCCTGCAGCACCAATGCCAGCTTCCATGTTAGGTTGAAAGCATCGGCCACGCTAGTGTTCAGCCCCTGAGCAGCCGAGGTGCTGTGTGTATGGCACGCATCTCCCATAATGAACACGCGCTTTCCGTCCCAGAACTAGTCCACGATGCGCTGTTGCAGGCAGTATTGGCTGATTTAGAGGATCTGATCGATCTCCATAGTAGCTGCCGGCAATATCACGCACTTTCTGCCGTAGCAGATCTTCCAGAGCCACATCGCTGTATCTGGTGTGACCATTCATGGGGTGAGCCTTGGGGCCCTCCTCGGCCATCTGGCGGAGATCGTCCTCATTAAGCAGGGTGTACACCCCGTTTGTATCCAACGAATTGGGGATCAACATCATGCGCCCCTTGGCGGATCCGGCAGATGGTAGCGTCGCGGCACTGCCTGGTCAGACAGCCGCAAAACCCAATTATCTGAATCAACGGTTCCTATCGCCGGCGTAGTTCTGGAAAGTTGCTGTCCAATTGCATATCAGCCACACACCAGACCTCGCCCTGGCTTCCATGCTTCTCCCATTCAATACCTAGCAGCTAACGGGTCTTGCTGCCAGCCCCGTCGGCACCCAAGAGATATTTGGTGCGAATAGTAGAGAGGACATTCGAATATCCGTGCTTGACAAGAACATGCAGAGGATACTAGGGGTCATCTTCGACGTAAGTGAAATTGATCAGCTCCACAGGTCGATCCACTTGATAACCATGCGCCTGTAGCTCTTCATCAAAGGCCCGCTCTGTCTCTCGCTGTGGCACGCTCAGGATCCATGGGAAGGGAGTCGTGGTTTGAACCTCCTGGCCAACATAGGTGCAATCGAGCTGACCGAGATCGTTGTTGGCCCAAAAAGCCATCCCACTGACGTGTTTACCCAGGATGTCCAGGTGGTGATGGATGTTTAGAGTCTGCAGGACTTCCTGGGTGCGAGGTTGGATACCTGGCTCGCGTATGTCAATGCCGGCTTTTCTTGTTTTTCACGACAAAAATAAGTAAACTCACCTCCCGCATGCCCAGTCTGGATGCGCCGAGAATGCACGTCAATCACTCGAACATCGATGTTGTAGCGAGCCAGCGTCAGTGCAGCCATGAAGGCGACAGGGCCAGAACATCGCATTTGCTATCGGAGACCATAATGTGGGGTTGGTGATGGCGAAACTTGGAAGACAATAAGTTGCGAGGGCCCATCGATTTGATAAATATAAAGATTGGCAAGGCTTCCTATATTATCACAACCCTCCCAACGGACATTCGGAACTGGACGTTTTCGGGCGGATTGTCCCCGCGGATGTCCGACATCTGGACCTTCTGATGCCGTATTTTTCGCCCCTTGTCCGGTGACTGTCTATATTTCAGAGATTTTGCGAGTCGAGCCCTTGATAAATGGACGCACGGGGCAGCCAGAGCTCCATTGGGAATCATCCTCCCCTATTCGCTTGCCAGGGCGGTGTTGTTGAACATTGAGTTGCTTTCTCTACGATCCGATACTGGGGACGGACTAAGTAGCAGGCATGGATTTCGACATGTGGATGGATTCCAATTTAAATACTCGTGGATCTATATTTGTAAGTGTCTGTAGCTACCAAACAACATTTGAAAGAACATTTGAAGGCCACATGCATATAATCTCCAAGCACTAGGAGAATTCAAATACTGCGAACTAAGTGTAAAGTGCATCGTGTCTACCTTCTCTACACACTGGATCTACCAGTCAGCTTGATCACTTGGCCTAATACATTGGGGAGAAGTTAGCAAAGTCATCCATGGGCGGGGAGATTGAAATCATGGCGAACATACCATTAATCCATTCCCCCTCTTCCGAGGCCTAAAAACACACAACCCGAGCAACATCGAGTGGTTGAGCTCTGCGTCCCAGCGGGTACAGGCTGGCGATACCCTTATCAATCTGCTCCATAGGCATACCAGGATAACCATTGGGGGCGTAGTACCACGAGTTCTCGAGATACATGTCGGTCAGAATACCTCCAAGGGCCACCGCGTTGACGGTCATCTTCTTAGGACCACAGTCAGCAAGCGAAGCTGCGAGTAAAACCTTCGACGGCGGCCTTGGAGCCAGCATAAAGAGCGTGATTCTTAACACCTGTCATGTTGGCCGCTACGGACGAGATCAGGATCAGACGGCCCCCCTCAGAGCCGTACTTCAGAGCATGCTGGGCGATGAAGAACTGGGCGCGTGTGTTCAGCGCAAAGGCCTTGTCATACAGGTCCTCTGTCACATCCTCCTCCGCGGAGAAGGCTTCCATCCCCGAGTTGGACATGACGATATCGATCTTGCTAAAGTGCTCCAATGTTTTTTTCAAACAACTGCGTCACCTCCGACGGCTTGGTCACATCTGCTTGGATGGCGATAGCGCGTGGGCTGCCGGGCAAAGCCTGAATGGCTTCGATAACGCCCTGTGCTGGCCCAGCGGCGTGAGCATAGTTGACCACGACATAATGCACCGTGTGAGGCGAGCTCTTTGGCGATGGACGCGCCAAGGCCTCGACCGGCACCGGTGATCAGGGCGACTTTGCCGTGGAGATCGAAGGATGCGGGCATGGTTGGTACTGTCAATATGTGTTTCTAGAGATGAAAGCAATTTTGTGGGATCAATGTTTTGCTCGACCTCCAGATTTCCATACATATAAACAATTACTACTCAATATCGAGCCCATCTTCCCTCCGATTAGTGTCTATATCCCCACCGAGGAATCCGCCCCTAAATGCGCCATCTTCCTTGTCGGAAAACGAGCCAATCATATGACACTACCCGATCTCGACGAAGCTGTCCTACTTTCCGATGTCTATCTTTTCTAGCTATCGAATGTGACGATCTGGGAAGGATCGCACTTGCCAAACCGGCAGGAACGACCTACACCCTCGTACCCTCGCTCCTTCCAGAATCAGCAACAGGATTAAGCGAGGAAATTGCGACTTTTGCATTGAATGCAAACACAAGGTATAAAAGGGGAGGAACAAGTGCACAGTAGTTTTTCTCTTTTCCCTTCTTCCCTTGTACTTAGAATTTGGTTTGCATTGCACTCTTTCTTCTGGATCGAATTGGCACGTAACATCGAAGCCTTTATTCGACGAGACTAGGGTACTCGGAGAATGACTTCTCAAGAAGTAATTCGCGAGTTGGATCTACCTTATAGCGAGGTAACCTTTCGAACGTTTTTAAAGGTTCATGGCCTTCGTCGTTACGTTGCTAAGCGAAAAAGTTTTTAAGTGAACGGAACCGACGGCGTCGCCTTTAATTTAATCTCGACCACTGAGATTAGACCTTCGAAGATTGGATAAGGTCTTTTAGACTAACTAATGAAACCTAGGTTTCTTCTAGTTGTCATAAGAGAACATATATTACCCACGAGCGGTTTGAGAACGAATGTATACACAAAGACAGGCTTAAACAAGTTGCCTGGATGTTCTGGGGATCGATTTTCTGGGAGAAGAATTGGGGGACAATAAACGCAGACTGGTATCAAGGGCATATATGCCCTTTAATCAGGCGTTTGGTTCGTGGCCGGGGTGAGAGCTATGTTATACAAGACGGAGCGCCGTCTCATAAAGCCCGAGCAACAAAAGCATTACTTCGGTTAATGGGTGCTGTTTTGCTAGATTGGCCGGCGTACTCACCTGATCGAAACCCCATTGAATCTCTATGGGATCTAATGAAGGATTGATTCCAGCGTAACTATCCACGTTACGAGCGGAATCTGGATACTATACGGCGTATAGTCCAACAAGCGTGGGATGCTATTCCAAATGAGAGGGTGAGTGAGGGTCATTGAGACTATTCCTCAGCGTATGCAGGACGTTATTGATGCTGAGGGGGGGACACTGAGTGGTAGAGAGAGAGAGAGAGAGAGTCCTGGAATTAGAAAATTAGAAAAGAAGAAAAAGTACTGTACTCGGTTGTTAAAAAACAAGAAAATTACTAGCGTAAAAGCAGTTGTTGACGATGAAGATGTGATAAAAATGACTTAATTTTGTTAGTGGTTTCCGTACAAACTATATTGTAGGTATCTATGTTGTAATCTACCATTATCCTGGCCTGGTCACGTGGTAGCTAGCTACTCTATAGTGACTTGCACCTCTTACACATTCAGCTATACCTTTTCAACAAAACAAAATATTCTCATGACCATGGACTCACAGAAAGATACTACATCCATAGGCAGTGACAGCTCTAAGGAAAACCACCCACCGACAAAATCAGCCCAGCAATCACCAACAGATACCGATGATGTGGACCGAGACACCGAAATCTCATTAGAAAAAATCAAAAGTGCAGACCAGGCACTGAGTGTTATCGAAGATAGCGGATTTTTCAAACAGTCGCTTTATTCGTTTCTTGTCTTGACTTCCGTGACTGAGGAGGTCGGACACAACCTACTTCAACTTCTGGATCAAAAACACCCACACGTCCGAAAAGGCTTCTTCCTTCGCAAAAAAGTACTTACCCTCAAAATACCGAGTTTTACCCATGAGGCTCCACTCGCCTGGTTCTTCGATCAGCTTTTACAGTGGAATTTCAACGGTCAGCTTACACAAGTTGAGGTGCGGCGCGTGAGGGTGATGGCAAGCCCGCGAGTAACGGCGCAATTTCCTGGCTACGTCGGCGATGAGAAAGAGCCTGATACATATATCACTCCCAGGGGCAACCCCGCAACTGGTCATCCAACCGTGGTCATGGAGGTTGGCTTCAGCCAAACCTACTCAAGCCTAGTGCAGGCTGCGAAAGTCTGGCTAGAGGGTGTTGGCCCAACTGTACGCAAGGTTATCCTGATCAAATTCTTCCGGTGCAAGAGCGGAATCGCCGGCACAATCGAACTCTGGGGCCGGGACACCACAGGCAATGCGAGAATGGTCTGGAGCAACAGGATCTTCCCGGTTCGAGGCCCCGTCGAACGACCTATCTACTTGACTCGAGAAGACATCTTCGACGGCGTGGTTGAGCCAGGCCGCCAGGGCACCGATCGTCTTGACCTTGATCTCACTTCTCTCCGCGACATAATCGTCGAGACGGGGTTGGATGCCGTCGGGCTCATTCCTGCGCCTTGATTTTTTTTTTTTTTCTTTTATGACATGCTTTCGCGGAGGTGTTAGGTGTTAGGGAGTAAGTGGGATATGGTGATTTGCAGACCTGTATCTTGTATTTTTTCTCTTATTTTTTATCCGCGCCGATGACCGGCCTTTTACCATCTTTTTACCATGCATGGACGACCAGAATGAACACTGCATATACGCAGAAGTCAAACCAAAAAAGAGAAAGATTCGCTCATAACTTGAAATGAGATATGTAAGAATAGTTTAAAACGCCCAAATCCGAGAGACCCACGCTCGCCAGCAAAAGACAAGACAGCAAGCAGCAAACCCAATACGCCTCTTTTCGCAAACCTGCCAGGTGTCGATCCTGTCAGTGTAGCTTGTACATGATACAAGGAGCGGCAGTGGTGAAAAGCAATAGCAGCAAGAAAGAAGAAGAAAAAAATACAGATCAAAGAGCAAAGTACAATGGGAAGAGCAGAAAAGGAAAGGAAAGGAAAAGGGATGTTAAAAAAAGAACCGGATCTGAGATCCAACAGAGTCTAGAAAGACATGGCTGTGGAAATACCCCGGCGGGGATCGAGGACCTCCACAGAAGAATGGAAGATGGAGGAGGCGCAGATCATAAGAACATGATAGTACATCCATAAGGAAGCTATGTGCAGAAGCAAAATTTGCGCTCATATGTGCAAGGTGCTAAGATGATAGGGGGTATCTCCGTGAAAGTCGAGCTGAAGACGTGAGATGAAAAAGAATAAGTGCTGTCTGGAAACGAAAAAAACATTGATTGTAGTTCATGCCACCTTCTTGAAACTGAAAGATCTCCATCGAGGGGTATGGCCGGGCCGCGTGTGGTTGGTGGGTTGGTCTTTGACCAGGTCTTTGGCTAGGTCTTTGGCCAGGGGCTCCGAGGTCCGGATGGGTTGTTTGGGTTGCTTAGGGTGGGAGATGGGAGGGAAATGTCTCGGGGAAACAGGCGACTGGACTGGCGGCTCTGTCTCGAGGGATGCTTCTGGCACGGCTTCTGCAAGGAGCGGCGCTGTCGCCATGTCAGACATGGAGACTCGGGGCTCTTTCTCCTTGCTGAGTCGGTGGCTGAAACTTCGGCTGCCTCGTTTCAAAAAGCCGAACCCGGTCGACTTCCTTGGTGATCCATTTTCAGCAGCGAGGTCGGCTGTGTCGGCTTTGCTGGCCTCGATGGCTCTTCTCAACTCCTCTGCCTCTCGTCGCTGCATTTCTCGGTTGTACATCTCCTGCTCTTTCTGGCGATTTCTTTCGTTCTTCTCCTTCTCTTTCTCTATCGCCCGACGTTCTTTCCGTAGTTGGTGATCACTCTTCTTTGGGCTCAATGGGGTGGTTTGTTCGTCAGGGATTGGAGGGAGAGGCGGTTGAACGGCTCGCGGCGAAGCTGCTTGGGGCTCCGAGGGTTCTTCTGGGTAGGTGTGCAGTTGGGGTGCGGTTGGGATTCGGTTGAGAGGAGTGAAGGGGGTTGTGTGATCAGGAGGCACCTGTGATGCACTTTGGGCATGGGCGAGAGGTGGTGAGAAGGGAGACCCATTAGCCTTGCCGGCCTCGCTTGTTTCGGCTGCCCCGGCCATGGGGGCCTGATTCTCTTGCGCCTGCTCGCGCAGGACAGCCTCGATAGTTGTCTCTTGATAGAAAAGAACATAGGCACATGCGAGTCCGGGTCGATCTCCAAAGAAGTTGCGCACGTAACTTTTGTCAACTGGTTCCACGAGCTCGTCGTCGAACAGCAGCCAGCCACGGTCTTCGGTCTTGATAATGGCAACGTAGTGGCCGTGATACGGTCCTCCGCCAATGTGCACCACCACCGCATACAATTCGTAAAGACGGTCTGGATCCTCGGCATCGTCCGTGGTGTTAAATAGACGAAGATGGTAGGGATAGACGACGCGATGGAACAGCTTCTGCAGTCGCTGCAAGTCCTCTGTGTATTTGAAACGCTTCAAATGCAAAGCCAGCACACGTGGCAAACGTTTGATCTTCATCCGCTTTTCCGCTTCTTGCAGTCCGCCGCAGTTGTCGCAGTGGAACTTATTCCGCTCACAGAGCATCTCCTCGGCCGAGAACTTTCTCAGACAAGAGGTCACGGACGAATGCTGCTCGAGATCCACCGATAAATCCAAGAATACTTCGTCTCGCTGCGACACCTTTTCACAGGTGAGACACTTGGTCTCGGACGTCAGAGTCCCCTCGAACAGCTCGTGAACCCATCTGGTAGTATTGGGCGATTTCGAACCCGTGCTAGATGGCACCATTCCCAAGGAGTCGGCACTTGCTGTTGGTGGCAGAGCCTTGTCGATGAATGCCTGCTTCGTGGCTTCCGTTTCCACATTGGCGACGACCTCGTTGAGGAGCAAATTCAAAAACTCATGCGCATCCTGGTGCATGGCGGTCCGGAACATCTCGTGCTCGCGACGGAGAATGTCCAAGAACTGCTGCGGGCGAACGATACCAATGCGTGCTTGGCTTCCTACGACCGATTCGAAGATGTCCTTGAGCGAAGTGAACAAGGACTCCGACATCCCATAACTGGTCGCATTGTTCTTGGTTTCCAAAATCGGCAGGGTCTGAAGTGCCACTTTCTTCTTGTATTCCGGCGACTCCTTGTCCTCCGGCTTCTGGTTGGGATTTGGGGGCACACCGGCCTGGCGCGCGGATGGTGGGGACGAGGCCTTTTGTCGGGCAGCCAGCGCCTCGGCTTCGAGGTGGGCATTTGGGTTCTGGTAACGTAGGTTCTTCGCGAGGGCAGCCTCGAGGCTGTCCATGGGTGTGCGTTGTGGGTAGTTGATGACGGCTTCGCGGAAGGGCACTGAGTAATAGAGACATTGCAGGATGGAGTTACAGTAACAAGTGTTTCCATACTGAAAGCGCGGGGGGATTGTGGTCAGTGCCGTTGCGGTCTCAGCAGACTCCGGGGAAGTCCGTGACTCACATTTTCCATTCCATAAAACTTGTCGCTGCCGTCGTCGCGGATGGGACCCATGTCCTGCAGCCTCTTTTCCAGAGGGGAAATCTGCGGTACCTGGAAGTCTTTTTTCACGGGTGGCGCCGTGGCCGGGGGGTTTGAAGCCTGCGCAAGTGAAAGTCCCAGTCAGTGGCGGTCCCAATCCGAATGGTCTCACGGGGACCGAAGCATCTGCTGTGCTACCAGGTTGAGCGAGCATGGCTGTGCGGATGTATGGTCACTCACCCCATTCTTGGAGCCCTTGGAGAAGAGCGCCTTCATGATGGCTTAATGGTCGGTCGCACTCTGCATTGATGAGGCACAGTGTGTGGGGAGTTTAGAGATCACAATTCGAGATCGGCATACGAAGAAGAAGGGGGGGGGGGGGGGGGGGAAGGAAATGACCGCCGGCCGGGGAAAAAAGGGGGTTGAGGTTTGGTCCCATAAGGTTTGGGGGGGCCGGGGTAAATGGGGGGGGGGGGACAAAGGGGGATGGCACCTGGTTACGGGG